GGGAATCAATTTGCCCGTATTTTTTCTGTCGCAGTCGCAAATGAAAAAGTTGCTCTTGGCAAACAAAAACACACCAAACATACCGAACCAAAGCCAATTTTAAACCTCCCAACTCAAAAACACGACAGTTGTCCTTCAATGGTCCTAATTACATCATGTGGAGCATGACTTCATTTGGTTCAGCTTGGCAGTCGGCCTGCCGTAGAAATGAAAGAGCAGCAGAAGGTCTCGGAGCTGTCCGTGAATGTCTCCTGTTGTTGCCCACATGTAGGACAAATCAAGATGAAAAAATGCTTGAATTGTATAAGCCTGGACGAACAAGCCTGGAAGTACAAGGAAAGGGAATCTCAAGTCTATAATGATCTCCCTCTACCTGTTACCTCTTGGTCACCACCAAAAGGGAAGGGCAAAGCCCCCTGAGCTTTGCAACTCAAATGTGCGCACGGCAGGGATGTGGCAATCCAATTCAGTCGAGCTTCCAAAGACCTTCACTGGTGCAGTCACCTCTGAGACAATCGGCCTCAGCCAGTTTTGTTCCTTTCGACCCTTTCGGATGCTTTCGGATCCTCTTGGACGTTGTGCGTGTTCAATTCGTAAGCGCGAGCATGCGCGAGCCCATGCACATGTCAAGCGAGAATTTAGTATATAAATGGAGGAATGCTATGGAATCGGCGAGGAGTAAAACTATACTATAGAATGGAAGCAAAGTCAGGATATATGTGAAACAACTTTAGGAGAACATATTTTGAACATGTAAGGCTGAGGATACCTGTAACATGAAGAACATATAATAACATGTCCCTCCTCATTGTCAGTGCAAAAAAATCAAATATTTTCGTTGCCGGAGGGGGCGCTGCCAAACTGCCAAACCATGTCTTCAGTCCCTTCAAGCGATTCACACCCTCATTAGCACTTCTGGGACATGCTTGAAAGATTTTGAAAACAATGGAATAAAACTGGGCTGTGTCAATTCAGCCAAGCGGCTGAGATTTCTGCAGCTCAATGGCTGCTCTGATCAAAGTGTCTATCTGCGTGGATCACAAAATACCCAAGATCCAACAACACATGACATGAGGAAAAGAAAGGAAGCAAACGCGGTCTTAGACAGCCAAACTAGATCAAACTAGTATATGAGTATATGTATGTATATGTGAACTAGCTACGTTATCTTACGACTAGTGGCATATAATATCATGTAATTCACATCCTTCTCGGATGTGAGAAGCCTATTATCCGTATCATGCAAATTTTCCTGCCATCCCCTGCCTTGTTGGCATACAAAGCCTCAGTAAACACAATCAGCCATGACGCCCTCCCAAACGCCCACACAGACTCTTTTATGCGCCATTTTGGCATATGCCGTTGATACATACTACTGATGTTTTTTTTATCCAAGGATGTCCAAGGTGCAATTGTGGCAGCAGTATAACCGCGTGGGGCGTCCTCCCCTTCTAGAAGCCAGGCCAACCTTAAGACAGCACAGGCAGCCGTCTCTTCCCTCGTCTGATATGAATGAAAATTCATTTGCTCGAGTCGCAGGCAAGCTCGGTTCAGAATCCAAACCTCACTGCGATAGGCATCGCTGGGCAATGCACACTGTGCTCGGACGGAGACACAAAGAGAAGGAAACAACGGAAAAGACTCAGTTCACGGCAAGTTGATGAGTTGAGGTCTTTAAATCGCGACCTTGCATATGTCGATGACATGCGAAACATCATGGGATTAGAGAGTGGGCAAACTCACAATCGCTCGTGTCAGTTTGGCAGTTAGGCATATAAGTCTCAATAGATATCATACAAATCCATATCATAAATGATGGAAATAGGGCCTGTTGCTACATGGGGTATTATAAAAGCCCAGAGCCCTTTAAAATTGTTTTTTCACACGTTATCGTTTTTTTTCCCTCTTATCGTTTTTCCAAGCGCTGGCTTCACACCTTGACCAAAGGATTCACATGAGCGAGGAAAGGGAAAAGGAAAAGGAAGAGTAAAGGAAGGGAAAAGAAAGAACAGGAAAGGGACAGGAAAGGGACAGGAAAGGGAGAGGAAAGGGAGAGGAAAGGGAGAGGAAAGGGAAAAACAGGGCCGTGTCTCACACAGACCGTTTTTGATGCCAAAAGTTATCGGTTTCGTTTTCGTTTTGTTATCGTTCGTGAATCCTGTGCACGTTCCTTTTTTCTGGAAATGGCTGCAATCATCAAAAAAGGACTGTAGCGACCACCTACCAGGCACCTTCCTTGTGCAGAATCTGACACGCATTCGTTGGCGCGCCATTACGACAACAAACAATGAAATGAAGAAACCAAAAGCACTAAATAGCTGCAAAACAACGGACAAATAAAAACATTGGATTTCAAAAGTCTGGACACAGATCATTAACAAAACTAACGTTCAATGTTATCGTTTTTTTTCCTCTTATCGTTTTTTTTCCCGAGTGAAAGCTAAAAATGGCTCATGGGGGATCATGGAAGACTAAACGAATAGGCGCGGGGGTTTTACAAACTCCCACATTTCTTACGCCAAAAAAGGTTCCGCGCTTTGCGTTTCCCAACTCCAGTTTCTTCCTTGCTATTTGGTCCCTCTGGATGAAGCTCAAAAATGAGTCCCTTTATATATCCTCTTGTAGGCCCTCAAACAATATAAAAAAAGAAATCAATGTCAATGTTGTCAAGGATACTTCTTTACAACTGTTCCTGGAGCGTGCTGCCAAATCATAAATGTACAAGAGCGAGACCTACTGCAGTCTTGTCCGCAAAAAAACAAGGAATATCGTGTTGCACAGCGGCGCTGTAAAAGCGCGTAAAAGCGTCGTCCAGGAACGCTCTGGAACCTCTGAAAGAGTGTGAGCCGAGTCTTCTAGACGAGGGCTTGAACAGAGCAGTACAAGACTGTCTGAGTTACAAACATGACCTCCAAGAGAGATGCAACAACAACATGTTCTACATGGAATTAGCGTGCTTCGCGCTGTCCTAAGTCAGCTGGCAGTGCCTTTTTTTTTGAAACTGCTAGGCCGGAGAAGACACTCAAACCTCTCTAGCGCAGATGGAGTAAATAGATGTATGCAGTGTAGGTATGTGAACAGGTATGTGCAGGTTGAATCTCCAACAATCTCAGAGCAAAGATGAGCAAAGTCACTGAGATTCGCGCAAAGACGGATGTATTGCAAAAACCTGTTCTTCAGCGGGAGGACCTTCAGCCTGCCCATCTCGCGATGTATGATACGTACGAAGCATTACGAAGCTATATTCATCTTTTTCATTCTTTTTATTGGGCTTCTTGTGTCAAATCAACTGATCATTGGCAAAGCGTCTGTCTTGTGGTGGTTCGTCCTCTCCTGTCTCATGGTACATGCATGTACCATATTACGCTGCACGTACCGTGTACCTCTTTTCGAAGCGCTTCCGCCCACTCTCTGAGACTGCCACCTCCGCTACAAGCACAAAATAAAACAAAGCAGAACAGCAAGTGGTGCACATGTGGGAGCTATATGTTTTTCCTCCTATTGAGTCATATGTAGTGACAATTAGTGACACAATAGTGACACAATAGTGACACATAGTGACACATAGTGACACATAGTGACACGATGTCACATCCTTTTTGAAGTGGCCTTCTGGGCACGTCAGAATGACTTGCGAGTCACAGGTTTGAATTCTCAGGTCCTGGGCTCCAAGTGGTTCCATCATGTTCCATCCCCTCAAAGCCAACACCACGCCATTGCATTACTACAAAGTCAATGATAGAGCCGCATGAAGGCATCAAAAAGCTACCAAATACTTGGACACGGGCGCGTGAAGTCTTAGTAAAAATATGTAAAGATAGTGTAGTATAGTCCCAGGATTCGTTTGGCCTTCTTAATGGTTTTCAGTGCCACAAAAAAAGGTCCTCCTCCAGTGAGATACTGGTTGTGCTGCCAATCCGAAGGGCGCCAAGCACTTCGGATCCCTTGGAGTCGTCCTGGCAGAGCGCAAACTCCCGCCAGCGCGCCATCACATACATCGGGACATACATCTGGACATACATGTGAAGCAATATGTACTTAAAAAATCTTCAATATGTACTTAAAACAGATCAAACATATTGCTTCAATGTGCTTCACATGTTGAGGATGTATCCAAAAAAATGTCCAAAAGATTCCAAAAGAAAACCGAAGGCGTTGAATACACTGAATGTCTGACTTTGTTCAATCTGGAGCTTCAGTCCTTCTGCCACTGAAGCAAGCCTGTGCAACAATTGATCAGTATGTATGTCAGCAGCATGTTTCTTCTTGAACAACCGTGAGCATCCGTGAGCAGGCTTACGAACATCAACGCTGGAGGCCCTAGCAAAGCAACCTGATGCAATATGAAGATGCATCCGCATCTCTCCATGCCTTGTGAAAGAACGAAGAAGCGCCTGTAATACAGTGCATACAGTAGTAGGCATGAAGAGCATGAAAAGGAGAGGCATCAATTCCAGGCCACAGGCCACAGAATGCAAAACAAAGCTCTGCACCTCTGCGCTTGCGACAGGATCATTCCATGCCGGGGCTGTCTGGTAAGAAAGCCACTCCTAAGAAGGGATTCAATTGGGCAAAATCAATGATCAAAAAACATTCAAACCTTTCAAACATGATGGATCCAGCTGTAGCTTCTCCGGATTTCTCTAGCGACTATTCTCATCTTGTTTTGATGCTGCCACCGCGAGACTGAATGAGCATAGATTGGTTCACTGTGGTTCACTTGTTGACTCCCTCAATGAGCTTCGAAATACTTTGCTTGGTGAAGCCTACTGCGCAGCATCGTCCATACCATCTTCAACATCTGAGGATGTGTCTTGCTGGGCTGAGTGGAGCTCAGTGGGCCTTGGTTGTCCGATGTAGTTTTTTAGTGCCTGTCTGACTCAACTGCAGGACCAATCTAGGCCTGCCATTCTTTGATGCAATCCACTGCCTTGCCACCATCCTGCTCTTGAAGGTCTCTTTTGCATTCTCTTGCCAGCTGGCATCTGCGGCCGACTGTGGCCCTCACGTTTGGGCACCCACTCATGGTCTAGGCAATCAAAACCAGCAGCCACTTCTGCAGCCACAACATCTACGAGCTGCATGCATCTCTTCACGACCTTCGCAAGCAGAAAGCAAGGTCGAAAGTGAGGCTGAGATCGAGGCTGAACGACTGAAAGAGCGACTCTGAGTGAGAGTAGGATAAAGATGATAAAGTATAGTTGAACGTCATATGATCTTGTTCCCCAGCATCTCTCTTCTTTCTTGAGTCTTGCTTGTGCACACTGCCATGCAGTTTCAAGTCAAGGAATGGGGTAGACTCTGGGTAGACTACTGCAGTGTATGTATTGGATTGTATTATTGGTACATATGTATACATATGTACCGTTGCGGAATAACGAGGGGAATCAAGTCCGTGCATCGCTGGCATGTTGGGGTCTCAAGACTAAGCTCACAGCTGCCTGGGCCAGGGCCTCAAGACTAAGCGAACCACATTTTTACAACACATTTTCAGTTTTGCAGAAAAAACAACAGTTTGTCCCAGAGTTTGTCCCAGGTCCCAGCTACTCTGGAGTGACAGCACTTCTCACAAGTTGTTGCAAACAAAAAGGCCACCATATCTGAAAGAGACAAGCTGCGATTGTCGGATTGGAAGAGGGTTGAACATCTCCTTGGCACGACCACTTTTTCACAGTATCCAGTCTGATCAGCTTGAAGCTACATGCTCTGTCTGCATACAGGATCCTTATATTATGGATCCTTATAGTTGCGATACTGTTGCGCTTCCAAACTTGCCTGTACAATTTCCTTTCCCGTATCGTGAGCATTTATACGCTTGTCTCCCCCTCTCTCTCTCTCTCTCTCTCTCCATCGCCTTCTCGAAGAGTTCAGCTAAGCTAAGGGCGAGTGAAAAAACAACCGCTCCACCAGGGAAGACAGGAGTGTCAGCAGCCAAGGGTCACGTACGAATACTACGCACACTCGCATGCACACATATCACATCATATCACATCATATCACACATATCGCACATATCGCACATTCTGCACGCGCGTCTGCTTGTGCGCAGTTTGAGATTCAAACTGAATGCTGCGACTGACTCCAGCGTCTGGCCACTGCTCGGTTGATTCCGTTCTAGTCGCCTGCACTTATTCCAAGACAAAATGACTTACCTATACTTACCTCATCAACGGAAGATTTGAAGAGAAAGTGACCCGTAGCCAAGTGCAAACGAAGCACATCTACTTACCGGCTACAAGTGCATTGAACCGGTGCCTAAACAGCGTACCAAAGCCAAAGCATTGGAGTAATATGGAATAAATGTCATGTGATCTCTTTGTCTCTCTCATCTCTCTCCATCGCCATCTCCAGCTACATGGGTTTGCATGCGCTTCAGCGGTGCCACAGTGGAATGACGTCAAGTTTCTGCATTCTTCTGCATCCTAAATTTGGGAGTGCCGATGAGCAAATTCTTTTGGCCGCGTTTCGGTCTTGTTTTGCCCTCTTGTGACAATCCACAGTTGCGAAATGCCGTGCAGAGGTATTATATAGCTGCCACTGCTTGCCTAGATAGGGTCATCGGTGCTTTGTATCAGGGTTACATAATCGTTTTTTTTGTCCGCGCCTTCTCAATTTTGAAGGCAATGAACATGGTTATTTTTTGGAACCAGCAAATAACATGCATTGAGTGTTCCGAAAATCGATTCCAAGGCGACCAACTGTATTGCTACCAAGCTGCGCTTATCAGGCCTTTCCGATGGGGTGGGCAAGTGATAAGTATCGACGTTCATCGTGGCGTCACTAAAGACCTCAGTCTCTGATGCAGGACCAAATCTTCTGAGATTGCTTCTGATGATGGACGGGTATTGCTTCTGGTTTAAGCCTGCACGCATCACTGCATCACTACGATACCATCGTGTTCCCTCTCCCTGCTGCTGTTGTTTGATGCCCTTTCATTTTGCCAGTGTGCTCAGAACCGTTCAACAAATCAGCCACATTCTGCTCCGTTTGCTTTTGGTTGCTTCTGTGTGGGCATATGTATGTTGGTATGGTATGGTATGGTATGGTATGGTATGGTATGGTATGGTATGTAACGTATGTAACGTATGTAACGTATGTAACGTATGTAACGTATGTAACGTATGTAACGTATGTAACGTATGTAACGTATGTAACGTATGTAACGTATGTAACGTATGTAACGTATGTAACGTATGTTACGTATGTTACGTATGTTACGTATGTTACGTATGTTACGTATGTTACGTATGTAACGTATGTAACGTAGGAAGCGTATGTAGCGTATGTAACGTATGTAACGTATGTAACGTATGTAACGTATGTAACGTAGGAAACGTATGTAACGTATGTAACGTATGTAACGTATGTAACGTATGTAACGTATGTAACGTATGTAACGTATGTAACGTATGTAGCGGATGTAGCGCATGTAATGTATGTAATGTAATGTAATGCAAATGTAAATGCAGATGTAAATGTAAATGCAAATGTAAATGTAAATGTAATGTAATGATATGTAATGATATGTAATGTAGGTTGGCACGTATGGTACGTGTGGTATGTATGGTGTGTATGGTATGTATGGTATGTATGATATGTATGGTATGTATGGTATGTATGGTATGTATGGTATGTGTGTTATGTATGTTATGTATGTTATATTATGTTATGTATGTTATGTATGTTATGTAATGTCAAGTGAGGATTAATAAACCCCTCCCGATTAATCAACCACCACTGCCCACCCCCAAAAAAAGTAATTTAAAAACAGGTGGTCCCCCCAGATTCATAAATCCCCCCGATTAAAAAACCACCAGTGCTGAAATCCATTGTTTATCCAACAATTTTTATTTCCAATTCTATTTATTTCCAATTTGTTTTTACCTTTTTTATCATCATTGTTATACTTAAGGTTTAAGTTGATCATTGAAAATTTCAAAAAACGACTATTCCCCAAATGATCGATTTCTAATTAAAATCTTTATAAAAATCATCTGTTTGGATAGCTCCCAAAGGGTACCCCCCATGAGCCCATGTCCCCCATTAATAATAACCAGGGTTTGCCCCTGATTCATCAACCACCTTTCTGATCCATGAGATTTTAACAAATCCAATAGAATTCTATTAAGATCTAGTTGACGTAAGCCATATCCAATTTTTTATGGTTCAGAGTTGCTTATTATTTAAGGGGGGGTCAAGAAACTAACCAGAAGGGGTACCCCCCTACCTTCTGGGGGGGGTTATTAATCCGGTGTTGGCATTATGTTCTATGTATGTTATATGTATGTTATGTGTATGTCATGTATGTTCGGTTGTGTTCTGTTATGTATTTATGAGTATGTATGTATGTATGTATGTATGTATGTATGTATGTATGTATGTATGTATGTATGTGTCTATGTGTATGCTTATATGTAAATGTATATGTATATTCATTTGTATATGTATGTGTATGTGTATATGTCTGTACGTATGTATGTCTGTCCGTATGTATGAATATATGCATGGATGCGTATGTATGTATATGTATGTACGTATGTAATGTAATGTAATGTAAAATAATGTAATGTAATGTAATGTATGTATGTATGTATGTGTGTGTGCGTGTGTATGTATGTGTGTATGTGTGTATGTGTGTGTGTATGTATGTATGTATGCATGCATGCATGCATGGATGTGTATGTATGTATGCATGTATATATATATGTATGTATGCGTGTGTATGTATGTACGTATGCATGCATGCATGCACTCATGCATGTATGTGTATATAATATATATATGTGTGTGTGTATGTATGTATGTATGTATGTATGCATGTATGTATGTATGCATGTATGCATGTATGCATGTATGCATGTATGCATGTATGGATGTATGTATGTATGTATGTATGTGTGTATGTCTTTTATGTATATTATGTATATTATGTCTATTATTTATATTATGTATATTATGTATTTCATGTATGTGTATGTGTATGTGTATGTGTATGTGTATGTGTGTGTATGTTTATGTATGTATGTATGTATGTATGTATGTATGCATGCATGCATATATGCATGCAGGCATGCAGGCATGTATGTGTATATAATTTATACATATATATATATGTGTGTGTATGTATGTATGTATGTACGTACGTACGTATGTATGTATGTACGTATGTATGTAGGTATGTATGTATAGGTGTAGGGGATTGCGTCAAACTTCGGGTATGGATCGGCCCGCGGTGATCCGGACGTGTGGATCGGTCTGGATCACCTTTGTTTCGGTATGGATCGGGGGTATGGATCGGCCTGTGGGTTCAGGGTATGGATCGGGCTGTACATTTTGACTCGCAGCTATATATATTAATTTGTATAAATATACATACACACATTGACATGTAGCATAATGAAAAACATCCATCCATGTGTGCTTGTCTGTAACGCAATGTAATGCAATATAATGTGATGTAATGCGATGTAATGCAACGTAATGCAATGTAATGCAATGTAATGCAATGTAATGCAATGTAATGCAATGGAGTGCAATGCAATGCAAATCAATGCAGTGGAATGTATATAATGTAATGTAATGTTGTGCAGTGGGGCATAGTGTATTGCAACGCAAGGCAATTCATTGCAATGTATGCAGCATGCATTGCAGCAAGGTTTTATCCCGGCTCTTTCTGGCATTCTGAGCAAGCAATTGCAGCCGTGTGGTGTTTATATATAATATATATTTCATTTTTTGTTTCGTCATTTTTTCATGTTTCTATTCAAACATGTTTTTGAGAAATATCATGATACATCTACTGATTGACGCCGAGATGACATGTTGATGGATTTTGCATTTGCCTGGCCTGGGCCACTGCCATGCTATGCCGTGTCTGCCTCTCAACTTGAATGGTCTTGTTTGACATTTTTCGGTTAAGTGAGATATGCCATATTGATCCATGTTGTAATTGTAAGCCCTTCTTCGAGTAGCACCTCCTCTTCTAACCATTGTATCGCCATCCTCTTGCCTGATGGACCTCTTTGGCACCGATCCTTTCTCCTTTTGCCCAACCTACCACCTTCTGTTTTTCAGTTTCTCCTCGAAAATGATAATTCTGGGCTCCAGGCAGCATATCTGCAGTCCTCACCAACACCAAGACCCCTGCGCGAAGCAAGCACAGGTCCAAGGTGTCCAAACGCATCCTTATACTGTTACTGCACCTACAAGCCTTCTCCCACTGAAGACCCCCAAAAAAACGTGCAAGTGTGTAGTGCGTATGTCTTTACGCGCGCGCGCATGCGGCCGCCCACCAGTTTCTGAAGGGAGGCCAGGATGCATCCATGCTGAGATCGCAATACAATTGGGCTGTAGTTCCCATAGGCGATCAGCTTCTCTCCCCAGAAAGATTCAAAAAGCATTTTGCAACTTATTTCAATCTGCCCCCATCTGTCCCAGGTAGTTTCAATGACCCACTTTTGATGGAGCAGGCTACTGTCAATAACTCTACTTAAGCTGCAGCATGCAAGCTGAGCTGTAACGGTCGTCTGACAGTCTGCTTTTGTATGCAGCTCTAGCCTGCTCAATTTCATCATTCTTCAAGCAAAGCAGGAATGCTCACAGAACACGTTGCAATAAATCCATAACTTGTGACTGCAAAGAGGCGAGGTGTCGGTGATGTCCATCACTTGCTGAGAATGTTCATCCATATAGTAATATCTTTCTTCACACACACACATATATATATATATATATATACATACATACAATATTACGTAATCCTGACGTGTTCGTCATTGCCATGTTCCTGACTTTCGTGACTAGGTGTTCCCGCAGCTTTGAGCCGCCTTTTATGCTGGTGCCGTCGCATGTGACCATCGCTTGGCGAGATAATGTCGTACGAGGTGCTGATAGCAACACCTCGGTCTGTGCTTCACAATGTTTCACAGAGTTTCGCAGCAAAACATCGAAAACATGTAGCCACAACCTGTAGCAACAATTTGCAGCAAAAGAAAAGCGGATCAGTTTGCGGCAATTGCTATGCCGCTATGCTGTCAAATGACTCCGATGATGTCCAATCGCATACTCCTTGAAAACTGACCGCAACGTCTTCTGCCTTATTGGAGGCAAACTGGCCAACCGTGCGATACTATGCTGTGCTGCCTGCAAGTCTCGTAGGAAAAGGCAAACAGAATCTGAAGTGAACTACCGGAACTACCAATTTACAAGAACCAGTCCAAGACTAGTTCTTACGTACAGAACGGACCAGGCGGACGCACACACACACACACAAATTGTTATATACATGTACAGTATTGTACGGTACAGGTGATGTGTTTTACTGTATCACCCGAATCGGCCATTTGAAAACCCACATCCGTCATTCACGGAGTCATCTTGCGCAAAGAGTCGAGTCTTTGGAACGATCAATCAGGCAGTTGTCATGCATACCACAGTCGAAGCAGACGTCGTAGCTGCATCTTCGGCACATAAACCTTTCAAGATGTTCTGGGTCTAGCAAGATTTGTCTGTCTGGCATGCTTTTTACGATGACATTGCACAATGCATGCCTTGACACCCTTCACACCTCTTTGCGACGTGTGACAGCATGCGCTACTCCCATGACAACATATGACAATGGCAGCACACAGAACACACACGCAAAGCAATTAAAAACGAAGGGCCGTCTTGCGGATCTTGGAATCACCTCATGACAAACCTCAGCACATGCAGCCCAAACAAGGATCAACCTTTCTCCACTCTGATTGTATGGTTGACAAGTAGTGATGGAAAATGACGGAAGACTAGACTTACTGATCTTACTGGCTATCACATGCTATCGCCTTCATGTTTTTTCTGCCTTTCCGTTATGTTCACGACATGCATCTGATTTGCACTAAGGGTGCAATACATCCTTCTGGTTTCCTTGCTTAAAATCATAGCAGCAAAGCTGAGTGGGACCAAGAAACTGTGCATCGGTGTTTGCGAGCGCATGGCAAATGTGTCAAGTGCAATTCGTGACCCCGAGAGCATTTCATGTGCGAGACCGTCCTGCAGGAAGTTCAAGGAAAACCTCTTTAATCACAAGAGGCAAGATGGAGCCGACAAAAACTGTTTCGCACCGACCAAGTTGACAAGCACGTAGCAATCGTAGCATGTTTCATCATGTTTCATCACATTTCATCATGCTTCCAAGTCACGTGCTATTCGTGCTATCCTGCTACTTTGGCAGTTCTGCATGCGGCACAGCTGTCGGCAGCTACAAAGTACAAGATCTGTACAAGCCTATGTCAGCTATGGCGCCATCTCAGGCCAACTCTCAAAAGCTGCAGAATACAAATTGAGCCATCAGCGTGCATGTTTGCAAGGGATCTGGACGCAGCATGAAACAACGGTTTAGAGTCTAGAGAGTTTGAAAAGATATTGCAGTACAGTACAGCCCTGTAAACTTTGTGAGACAAAGCACGATTGATTGAGCAAAACTGTCAACCAACCACTAACTAATACAGTAACTACTATGATCATCTACAATCTACTACAGGGAGTCACTGCAGCGGTTTTCTTCCCTGACCGCTTGCCATGCTCTGATCGTGCATCGGGTGGTGACTGGCCCGGTCTCTTTGTCGAGATGTTCAGCGCCATGAAGCAAGTCCCGGTCCGTGGCTGACTTCTGAAGGAAAAAACTGCAAAACCCTGCTGGTTACCCTGCCAATCTTCGTTCATCCTGTGGCCTGGAACAAGCAAATGGACAAATGAACGGATTGAAAAGTGGTTGGCCTCTGATGGGCTTTGTTACATGACAGAAGTTTAATTGCATTGGCAGGAGGCTAGAGTCGGCTAGAGGAGCTGTGTTGGTTCCACGCTATGGTTTATATTTCCTCAGATTCGTGGGTGCGCTTACTCCTTTAGAATTCATCACATGTTTGGCCTGCTGTACCTTTTTTATCTTTTTTCCCGAATGCATAGCGAAGGGTTCCCGTTTATAGTCTGGGGGTCTGGGGGCTAGACCCTTGTTCGCCTTCCGTGGCTCGTCGCCGTCGCGTTGTCGTCGCGTCGTCGTCGCGTCGTTAATTCCGTGTCTATGGGGGAAGCTGCAAAACCTCTGCTTTTTGAACGTTTCCACGCAGGTTGTCATGTCGTTTTGCGTGGCAGGCGTTGCACTTTGTGACATTCCAACCTGTTTGATAACGTGTCGAAAGTATCAAAATTGGAGGAAGTCTCGCACGAAATGCTCGTTTGGCGTCGCCGTGTCTATGGGGGAAGCTGCAAAACCTCTCCCTTTCGAAGGTTTCCAAGCAGGTTGTCATGCCGTTTTGCATGGCAGGCGTGGTGCAAAGCACTTCCCAGTACTACTTTGTACTGCAAAGCTTGCACAAAGTACTTCCCAGTACTACTTTGCACTACACAGCTTGCACAAAGTCGCTCCAGTACTACTTTGTACTACACAGCTTGCACAAAGCACTTCCCAGCAATACTGTGTACTACAAAGCTTGCACAAAGCTTCCCAGTACTACTTTGTACTACAAAGCTTGCACAAAGTCGTTCCCAGTACTACGTTGTACTACACAGCTTGCACAAAGTCGCTCCAGTACTACTTTGTACATCCCCTCAACTACAAGCCAGGGACTATAGGTAATTTCAGATTAGACCTTTTTACCCGGGTCTGATTGAAAGTTCCCTATGCGAATCCAGCTATTTTGCACCAACCATCTCAGACCTACCATAGGGATCCAGCAGAGATCATCAACATGCTGATGTTGTATGTTTCCGGAAACGGGAAACTTCACATTAGACCCTTGGGTGCTGGTTGTCAGCAACAACAGCCCCGGCAACAGCAACGGCAGCAAGTTTATTTTTTTTCCTTCACGTGCTTAGCACTGTGAACTTCTATGGTTGTTTCTTCAAATAGCTTCAGGTGAGCTACTTTCCCTTGCGTGAATGGACCTCTGGCGGTTGGAAGCATCCCACAAACATAGTCAAGTTTTTAACCCAAAAAAAATCTGTTGGATTCTGCTGGTGGTTTCTTCCAAGATCCATAAAATTGAGCTACGCATGAGATCATCATAGATCGTCCATCTCAGATGTACGAACAGCTGCCACAAAAACATGGCATCGCTATTTGAACTTTCAAATCCATTGTCCTAGAAAAAACTTGCAGATTGCAAGCCAAGGCAATGGCAAAACCAAAAGCAGCTCAAAGCTAATTCTCAGAAATCCTCCCCCTCTTCGGCATCGTCTTCGTCCTGCGCATCCTCTTCATCTTCGGCATCATCGTCCGGCACATAGGTATGCAGAGCAGCTGGTTGGAACATGGAGATGAGTGCCACCATCTCATGCAGCGGCTCGGCCTTGTACTCTTCAATGCCCTTGAAGATGGTCTGGTACCAGCCCTGCACCTTGATGGCAAACTCTGTTCGTTTGCGCGTGCCAACGAAGAAGGCGTCCAAAAAAGGGGGGCTTTCTTCAACAGAGTTCGCATGTCGATGGTTCCCTTCTGGGACTGGTGCTTGTAAGCGACCTTCGTCTTGTCGGTGTTGAGAAGGGACTTGGATGGCATTCGTTTTGCCTGATCTTCCAATGCCTTTCGCAACTCTTGAACCATGAGCTGAAACCCTTTCTTGCTTCGCTTGAAGTTCTCTGTTGTAGGAGGGATGTACTTCTTGCCTCGCTTCACCGGTTGGGACTTCTTCACCATCTTGTCATGATCCTCTGGCGGGCTCTCACTGAGGTCCACCATCGCACGAGCACTGGCCTGAAGTCAGCAGGGTCTATTATGGTTTTCCCTATCTGTGGCTTGTGTGAAAGGTGTGCTTGAAGGCAGCAGGATTTCATTTCAGACCCTAATGCAGCATCACTTAATCACAGACCATCACTGCAAAGGATAAGTGATATGATGAAACCGTATGAAACCATTGTGTTTGTTTTTGGGAGGATGGTTGCAATCGTTGTTTGACATATGTTAATTTCCCAGGGTTGAAATCAGCCTTGGTGTCACACCTGTGGGTCTATTATGGTTTTCCCTATCTGTTGCTTGTGTGAAAGATGTGCTTGAAGGCAGCAGGATTTCATTTCAGACCCTGATGCAGCATCACTTAATCACAGACCATCACTGTTAAGGATACGTGATATGATGAAACCTGATGAAACCATTGTGTTTGTTTTTGGGAGGATGGTTGCAATCGTTGTTTGACATATGTTAATTTCCCAGGGTTGAAATCAGCCTTGGTGTCACACCTGTGGGTCTATTATGGTTTTCCCTATCCGTTGCTTGTATGAAAGGTGTGCTTGAAGGCAGCAGGATTTCATGTCAGACCCTAATGCAGCATCACTTCATCACTTTCATCAAAACAGACCCCACTTGGACTCCCATTCCCTTGCCCGAAGAAAAATGGCCTCATCAAGTTTCATCTTGATACCGTCAACACCTTTCGTGACATCGGCGTTCATCTTCAGGCCAAGGCATTCGTATGAAATGATGAAACTTGGAGACTCACGAGAGCACCTGTAGACCTTGTCATCGCTTGAGTCCAGAGACGCACCTTAGAATCATTAAAGAAATGCACTGCAGAAGTCTGGAGAACAAATACGATCAAACTAAACCAGTGAAAAAAATGGTAAAACCATCCTTAACACAAAACCAGGCGCACACAACCCGAGCCGCATGCAAGTTGCCACGCGCAAGCGCTCTTGCGACAAGCTGCCCGCCTCCAGATTTGGCAGCAAAGGTGCGCCAAACACTGGTTATCCATCCAAGTTCCCACTTCTGCTTATGTCGGAAAGCAACCGCATCACCGATGTCAACCTCAAGCATTGGCGGCAGGGTCGGCGCATGCCTCTGCCTTTGCTCTTCCGTGTGGGTCATCCAGGCCGCCTGCCTAGACTGACGAATTGCAGGCTGCTTCGTGATCTCATCCAACAGCTTGATTTGGTGTTGCACTCGATTTTGCCATGTCTGTGGCTTGGACTGAGCAATGGACCTGGTGGCCAAAGGGCTTGGCACTACGTCCTTGTCACATCCATCCTCGCCATCACTGCCACACCTCAGGTAGTACAATAACTTCCAGAGGTCACTGATTGCAGAATCCAAGTTTTTGTGTTTGCGCAACGCTTGTGACAAGGTCTTGCGCTCAATCACTGGCACTTCTTCTTTCTTTGCTTGGGCTTCCACTTCTTTCCCTGCAACGATCTCTGCGGTGAGCTTGGCCAACTCAGGGTCACCACTCCGCTCAACAAGATCATCACCAATCCTGCCTTCCAGTTCAACGAAGCCTTCTGGTGAGTAACACTTGTTGATGAACTCATTGCTGTGCTTGATTCGCTTGAACAATTCAGCTGGATCTTCGTTTGCCGCATCACCTGATGGCAGCGTCAAAGCATCAAAGATCTAAGAAATCAATAATCAAACTATCATCACCCAAAAATATCTCTTCCCTGGGGCCTTTCATGGTCCTGGTAAACCCCAAGGGTCTAAGGTGAAATTACCTATCTTTGGATTTGAATTTCCTATCGGGAAAACATACCCCAAACCAAAATAGACCCTGGATATGGATGAAAAAACAATGGTTTGAACCAAACTACACAATGAACCATTTTACATGTATAATGATTGTGGCAATGGTTGCAACTGGAAAAAAAAAACATCATCACCCAAAAAAAAATATCTCTTCCCTGGGGCCCTTCATGGTCCTGGTAAACCCCAAGGGTCTAAGGTGAAGTTACCTATCTTTGGATTTGAATTTCCTATTGGGAAAACATACCACAAACCAAAATAGACCCTGCATGGGATCTGGTTGGGGCCAAACATAGCCAAACCATATATCGTGACCCTTTCAAGGATTGATCGCCTCATGTTACAACAAAACTGCGATCAAAAAAACAGCATCAAACAATATCAAACAACATATCTCTACCATTCCCAACCCTCGAACCATTTAAGTTCCTCCGGTTTAAGTTGAATTGCAAAACTGACCCATGTATGAGTTCGACAATCCAAGTCGTGAAACTCTTGACAAAGACTCCCCCTCTGCAAACACCCTGCCTTCATCACCATGCTGGTCACCCTGCTCATCGAACTCATCTGGAAAATCAGCACCATGATGATCAAAAAGATCCTAGATCTGAGTGGTGGTGCAATCAGAGCACATGGCCATGAGATTGCGACAAGCCGTCCACGATCTGTCGGCGCAACTGACAAAGTCGGCCTCACTGATTGCAGTCGCTGGTGAGCACTGGGCTGGAAGATCCTTGGTGAGTTCTCTGCGCATCAGGGCCAAACTTGCTCGCCAGTAGTCAGCGATGCTCATCTGACTTGTTCCGAAAGCAGCCCGCAAATGGCCGAAGCGGCACTCCAAGCGCCGCTCGGTGAGTTTTTGCCAGCACAAAGGAGCCTGCCCGCTCCAAGCACAACAAATGACGCTTCCGCAGATGTCCTTCAACGTTTTCATCGTTGTTGTGTCGATGAAGACGTCCCTCGTCTTGCACCCTCGCTTCTGCGCCAAACGCTTTGCCATCATGTGCCCCAGGTCGAGCAGCAGCAGTCCTCAGAATTGGCTGTGGGACAATGCAAAGACACCATAATGAAACATCATTGTCCACTGCCAAAACGCACCCTGGATAGGGAAACAAACTTGTGATTAAAGAAAATTCAATGTCCTCTGTTGCACCCCACAGGGTCTAAGGTCAAAGTGCCTATCCAGGGATTTCAATTACCCAGGGATAAAACATACCCAAGACCAATATAGACCCTAGGGATCCAGTGGTCTGCAACAGTTGAAACCAAGACTATTTACTTTGAAATTGCTAGTGTGCATCTTGATATATGATGATTTTTCAGTACGTAGTTGTGGTCAACAAACATCATCACCCAAAAATATCTCTTCCCTGGGGCCCTTCATGGTCCTGGTAAACCCCAAGGGTCTAAGGTGAAGTTACCTATCTTTGGATTTGAATTTCCTATGGGGAAAACATACCCAAAACCAAAATAGACCCTGGATATGGATGAAAAACAATGGTTTGAACCAAACTGCACAAGTAGAAACCATTTTGCATTTATTATGATTGTGTCAATGGTCGCAACCGAAGAAAACATCATCACCCAAAAAATATCTCAGCTGGACACATTTCTTATTTTCAAATCTCCGTTTAAGAAATGTTTCAGACTCTCGCCAGTCTCAGCCGTGCCCACAATCATCCGTTCCAAATTCCAACCAAGCATCCGCACATTGCTGTCTCAACCCGCCAGAGCAGGTCTTTGCTGGAGTGCAGCAAGGCTGCCTGTGCATGGGCGCCCACCAAGGAGAACAGCATGGCTCCCTGCAGGACCCATGGGACTTTCACCTCCTTCTTGAGCGGGTTGATGCAAAAGTTGGAAGGCGCCAGCCTCAGGCTGCGAGCAGAAGCATGGTGTCTATGGGTGGTACATGGTGGTACTAGGTGGCCTATGGGTGTCTGAACTTGAGCAGGTATTTTTGTATCATGCCTTTTCTGCAGGATCATCATAACTCATGACCACATATGACCAGAAAGGATCGTCACAACACATCATAGCCACAAAATAACAACATTTCATATGTGCATTCTTTCCGGCAGGAAACAGGAGCGCTGCTTGCCTGTCCGACATTGCGTCTTTCCCCACATAGGCCGCTGTGAAGAGGCCTAAGTCAAGGGCCGCCGCGAAGTCGGCTGCTAGGCAACCAAAATGCGGGGTGCCTAGGCACGACCTCATCTGTTCTGCGAACGACTTCTGCCCATGTGCCGGGCCGGGAAAGAAGTGCACCGACTCCTGCTTCATGAAGCACATCCGGTAAGGGATGTTGAATGCAACCTTCGGCAGGCTCTCGAACCTCAAAGAGTTGAAAAATGGCAGGACATCCCAAAGTTCGTCGGCCAAAGGAACAGCTCTTCCCAGCAAGATCGAGCCAAGAAAGTTGTGAGAGCCGTGGCGGTCTGCAATGATGTATTTCACAGATGGGCATGCTTTCAGAACCTGGCCCAACCTCTGGAGTGTGGCCCACTGCCCTCTTTGCAGCCTTGGGTTTGTGGAGTGCTCCTCAAACAGTGCATGACGTTCGGCTGCTGGCATCACTGGAAAGGCAGCCACCTCATAGATGCTGCTGTGGGAACGACTTGGGTCCCAAACGCAACAGGACTCAACTTCTGAAGCCTTGTCACGAGAACGAGAGACAATCTGCTCGATGACCACACCGTTGTTATCCTTCATCACCTTCTGGCTCTCGTCTGGATCAATGAAGCCAGGAGGCCTGTGTGGGCCTCCTACCAGGCAATGCCCTCGAGGGGTCAGGCAAAGCTGTGAGCAACTTTGAAGATACGTTCGGTCGAACGCTAGTGCCAACCGTCTCTGGGCTGTTTCTGGGTTGCGTGGAAACAGGCTGCTCACCAGATGGTCCGATTCAGCCATTTCCTCTTCCGAAGGAGCGGTAAACTTGGGCAGCCCCAGGGAAGTCACAATAGCTAAGCTGCCTTTCCAATCGTTCTTGACCAGCCACTTCATCCCAAAGGCTTCAAGGGCCCGATCATTGCAGCCAGCTGCTGCCAGCTCTGCGCCGGTTGTGAGCAGGATCTCACGCTCCTCTTCAGAACCTGGCTTGACAACGTTTGAATACGTTTGATGTCCCCTGTTGCACCCCACAGGGTCTAAGGTCAAAGTGCCTATCCAGGGATTTCAATTACCCAGGGATAAAACATACCCAAGACCAATATAGACCCTAAGGATCCAGTGGTCTGCAACAGTTGAAACCAAGACTATTTACTTTGAAATTGCTAGTGTGCATCTTGATATATGATGATTTTTCAGTACGTAGTTGTGGTCAACAAACATCATCACCCAAAAATATCTCTTCCCTGGGGCCCTTCATGGTCCTGGTAAACCCCAAGGGTCTAAGGTGAAATTGCCTATCTTTGGATTTGAATTTCCTATGGGGAAAACATACCCCAAACCAAAATAGACCCTGGATATGGATGAAAAAACAATGGTTTGAACCAAACTACACAAGTAGAAACCATTTTACATTTATTATGATTGTGTCAATGGTCGCAACCGAAGAAAACATCATCACCCAAAAAAAAAAAATCTTCCCTGGGGCCTTTCATGGTCCTGGTAAACCCCAAGGGTCTAAGGTGAAGTTACCTATCTTTGGATTTGAATTTCCTATGGGGAAAACATACCACAAACCAAACCAGACCCTACATTTTAAAACATTCCCAAACCGGCTGAAATCTCAGCCTAGAAACGGTGCCTGTTCCGCATTGTGCTGCAACCATTGTTCCACATGCGGATCTTCTCCACGCAAGCTGCGAGAACTCCTTGCACCGCAGGATGGCGCTTGAGTTGTCCGGTGACCACCGCCTGAACTACTTGAAGGTCAGCACTGGTACTCGAAGTTTCCGATGCCATGTAGGCAAGGAGGCCCTTGAGGTGCTGATGCTTCATCGAAACGCCTGGCTCACAGTCTAGGCATGGCCTCACCCACTGTGATGTGAACAGATCCAACGCTGCTGTCTGCAAGGAACTTGTTCTACCATTCCAGCTCTGCTTCACTCGCAAATGCAACTCTTCCTGGGACAGGGCCATGATCTCCTCATACAAGCTCTTGAGTCTCTGCAAGTAGTTGCAAGATGAACGAAGCTTCTGCTCAAAGTCTTCTACGCCCTCTGGGTCGTACATCTTGAAGTAGAGCAACCGTGCAGCATCCATCTGAAAAATGAAATTGCAAACTTTGCTCAAAAAACGCTGGTTGGAACCCAGAATGAAGCACTCCTCGCACGTGGCATCTCCCTCAGGTGTCTGGTAGACGCTGCCATTGATGCGACATGCTGATGAAGTGATGGTCCACTCTCCGTTGTTGCAGTCTTGCTTGTATTTGTGGACAGCAAGGCCAGTAGGAGTTTCTGTCCTTTCAGGGCTGCAATGTTAAAGCATAGCCAACTCATGGCCCTTGGCACATTGACATACATCACACACCCCAAAAACCCTAAATGCAAATTATGAATTATGATTGTTGGTAGAATGGTCCACAATGGTCAACATATGCGTCTCCCCAAGATTTTTGAAACCAAACAGTCCTCTCCAACCAGGCGTATTTCACATATTCATTCCAGACAGCTTTGAGATCTGACCCGAGGCTGGTCTTCTGAGCGATGCTTGACCCCAGTCTCAGCCCCATGCATTTCCCAATGACCTTGCCGGGCATTTCGTCCTCTGGTGCCAGAGCTGGCATTGTCATTTTGACTTCGACCTTCTGCCAGCGCCTGCGATGTTCGTAGCCTGACACGTGTTGCCACACACGTGCACGATTCCTGCCACAAAACACCGTGTCGCACACAGCGCAGTGGATAGGAAACTTTTTGCCATGCGACTTGCGCTCAAGGACGACCAGCCTGTGCAGATTGCACAGATCCTGTTTTCCCATGAGCTGTTCTTTGATAGCCCCTGCCGCGGGACTGGTATCTGCCGAGGGCTTGGATTCTTCCAAGGGCTTGACCTCTTCCAACGGCTTGACATCAGAGGCAACGCACTGCTCTTCCTTCACCTTCACCTGCTCCGTCTTCACCTTCTCCTCCTTCACCTTTGCCTTCTCTTCCATCACTTGGTCGGCGTCCACCCAGCCAGTCCGTCGCTTCTTCCGCAATGGCTTGAAATTGGCCATCTCCTGAACCTCTGTCTTGACCCGCTCCTTGATGCCTTCTATGGTGTTCTGCAGAGCGGCAGGGGTCAGACCATGTTGTTCCAGCAGGGCCTGGCAAATCTGGCACTCACTTGGCCATTTGCCATCTGCCTTGGTGGGTTCGCGCTGTCGACCAGGTCTAAACTAATGAACATTATGCATGTAGAAAACATACTCGACCTACTGCTTAGGGAACACAATTTCAGACCCTGGTGGAAGGATTCGTACGACAACTTAAGTTGTATCTATCCAAAGTTCCATGCATTCCACATCTGCAGTGCGTTGATGATTGAGATAGCATGTTCAAATATGTGATAGGATTGAATGATCTACAATAATCGGGATACACTAAAGGGTCTAAACTGATGAAGTTTATGCATGTTTAACACAAACCTCGACCTACTGCTTAGGGAACACAATTTCAGACCCCATGCAGCAACGTCGAGACACAAGCATTTGCCTGAACGTGACCCACTTGCCAGTCTTGCAAACATCCTTTCCACGCCTCAGCTGCAACAAACCAGTTTCAGCTCTATGATTCGTTAATATCAATGTCATCAGCTGTCATGTTATTGATCTGGTGAGCACAACAAATGGCTTTTCAATCACAATGCGGCTAGGGAAGACCATTCTGAATACCTTTGTGCCTCCAGCAACTTTAGCACAGACAAGGCACACCAAGCAACCCATTTTCTTGCGATGAGGATCGAGGAAGCGCTTGTCCGTGAGACCCTTCTCAGCAAGGAATCGGAAAAAAGCCCTCTCATAGGTGTGGGTTTGCTCGGGTGGCAGCTTTTTGCCATCTCGCTTCTTCTGAGGCTTGGTGTCCTGATCAGCACTCACCACAATTTGAGCTTCCCGAACTTCGACTCCTTCTCCTTCCAGTAGCTTTCCTTGCTGTCGCTGGGCTTTTGCATCTTTTGCATCTGGAGACTTCTTCTGCTTGGTCTTTTTCGGTCCATCAGGATTCTCTGGTGTCACATCTTGGCTCCTCTTTTTGTTCTTGCGTGGTGAAGGAGTGTAAACCTCACGTTCCACGTAGGCTTGCCAGTGCCGAAGATCAACCCTTCCCTCCAGGAATCTTTGCCAAATCTGCTGCCACAGCAGGTCATCCGATACGGCTTGCCACATGTGGCAGAGTTCAAGTCTCGTTGCTGCCACAATCCGGTCCATGTCAGCACTGTTCGCTGCTTTGCCAGCAATGACTGAGGCACTGACATTTTCTTGAAAGGCCAAGGCAGTGTGGACACCACAGTTTCCATCTGCAAGCACTGGTTTGGCAATGATGTTGTGGACAGACCAAAGCTGCTGGAGCATTTCAGACAGGTTTTCCTTCTCCAAGTGGAGCTCTTCCAGATCGGCTTGCAAAGTTGACCGTATCATCTCCTCCGACTCAGTCTCCATCCGCCTGCGCAAGACCTTCATTTTCTTCTCAATGCTTTGCCTGGAATCTTCAATGATGCCTTGCACTAAGCCGTCCTTGTCCTCCACATCATCTATCTCATTGCCCAACCACCCCGGCATCCAATGGACGCAGTGGTCCAAGGGTGCTGTCAACGAGTATGTCGGCGAACACAACACTGCTATTCTGGTCTTTTCAAATGGCTGCCCGCTGCCGACACCAGGCACTTCCAGTCCAAGTTCTGGATCTAGAAATTCCTGCACAAACTCCGGCGCGCGTCGCATCTCTCGGTTGCCTGCCAGAAGTATCCAGAAGCCACTTTTTGGAACTGAAAACACTTGGTTGCAATTTATTTTACCGGGGACCAAAGTTCTCAACTGTACGTCATTCTCACATTGTCACTGTTCCATGGAGAAAACCGGGGAACATGTTGATGTTCACTCTGGGCTTTGCCACACGCACCCAGCCTCCATGCCACACCAGAACTTGCAAGTCAAACTTCTTCTGAGAACACAATAAGAACATGTCTGGGAACTCCAGATAGATACGAGGCTGCGCAACTCGCTTGGCCCAGGCAAGCAGCTCTCTTTGGGGCGCACCTGAGCTGTTAAAAAAACAATGGAGTTCATGTGGTCGAGATACAAATCTACGGTCCTCCTCAAGGGTCTAACGTGAAGTTGTCTATGTGCGGGTTTCAAATTCCGTTTGTCAAAATATACCTCAAAGCAAAGTAGACCCAAGAGGAAATACCTCATTAGCCACCAAACTATTCCAACAAAAAAAACATCAAGGAGACTATCTATGAACTCGCAAAAATTAATGTGCCCCCCACTTCCTCCAAAGGGTCTAAAGTGAAATTACCTAAGCAAATGTGTAAATATCCCATTGATAATGCATACCCCAAACAAAATAGATCCTGGACATGTGGCAATCCTGGCAAAGCTTGCCGCAAACTTCCTCAAACTCTAGTTTGATTTGACATGACATTTGCATACATTTGCTGTGAGAAACATAAAGTTTAGGAAACAATATTACGCATCAACACATCTCAATTGTCCCAATACAGCCGACTCCCTGGCGCCATGGGACTTTCGTTGTGCTCCCACGATGCTTCCAGATGGTTGAACTCTCGCATGTGCGAATCTAGCTCTCCAAGAGGATCATGTCGAGGTCTGGACTTCTTCTCTGGCGTCATGCTCCAGTCCTGCACGAAGGCAGAAGGAACTTGAAACTTCACCCAAAACCAGGCAGCACACTACATCATGAGCATGAGAATCAATCCTGCACGCAACATCAACGCTGAGAGAGGATCAAAGGTCTAAAGTCAAGTTGCGTACCCCTGAAGTGATCATGACATAGGGGACAAACCAATGGAACACCAAAGAAGACCCCAGGGTGCAGCCGATTACCCACTGACATCACCAAAAGGTCTAAAGTAATCTAAAGATATCTAAAGTATTGTTCCAGCTCTGTTAGCCACTGACCACACAGAGTAAACCCATAAGGAAGATCAACTTAGATCCATCTGGGCTGGCCTCTGTGCGTTCTGGTACAGTATTTCCTTCAACTGCACCATCGCGCTCAAACTTCACCTCAGGCCTCAACTTCACCTCAGGCGGGTGTCGCTAGCTAGGGATGTTTGACTGACCCACCAGACGGTAGCAATTTTCCTATCAGCTGATGTGCAACTCTAACATGATGTCCAAAGTTCTCAGACCATATGCATATAGTTAAAATATGCTAAACATTGTTAAACTAGGTCAAAATACAAACGCAACGATATGTCTGATATGGGACTGTCCGGTCAAACATTGTTTTTGGACAAATGCAACCATTGATGCTAGCAGCAAAGAATTGGCGACCACTTCTTGAAGGAACCCGGTTTGGGCACCGCACCATTTCCATGAGCCACCTTCTTCACCTGGCAATGCGCACCACGCACTCCCTGAACACTGAGAGAGGATCAAAGGTCTAAAGTCAAGTTGCGTACCCCTGAAGTGATCATGACATAGGGGACAAACCAATGGAACACCAAAGAAGACCCCAGGGTGCAGCCGATTACCCACTGACATCACCAAAAGGTCTAAAGTAATCTAAAGATATCTAAAGTATTGTTCCAGCTCTGTTAGCCACTGACCACACAGAGTAAACCCATAAGGAAGATCAACTTAGATCATCTTAGATCCATCTGGGCTGGCCTCTGTGCATTCTGGTACAGCAGCCCCAGCAGCCGCACCATCTTGCGCAATTCCATCTCAGAGGTAAGTCAAGTGGAGAGATTTTGACGGAAACCACAAATACACTAATTCTCGTGGATACGATGGGTCTAAACTAAAGTTCCCACACCCCCTGGTGATGGAATGAAACTGAAAAGGACTGGTGACATCATGAAAGACCCTATCAGCTGAAGCGCAACTCGAACAGGACAGAAAGATACACGACTCTTGACTCAAAAGCTTTCAACAGCTGACGCCCACCTTGAACAAATCTCCACAATAGATCTGTACATAATATGGATCAAATGACATAGTTATCCTGCAAATCGTCCTTGGGCAACAAAAATGTCAAGACCCTCTGAGAAGCTATGGTCCCACACCCTGATGCCTTTGCAGTTTGTTGTCAACGTTGTCCTGCAAAGGCCACATGCTAAAAACAGAAACACACTGTCACCGTCAAATGCCAAAAGGTCTGCAGTATTGTTCCACGTCTGTTAGCCACTGACCACACAGAGTAAACCCATAAGGAAGATCAACTTAGATCCATCTGGGCTGGCCTCTGTGCGTTCTGGTACAGTATTTCCTTCAACTGCACCATCGCGCTCAACTTCACCTCAGGCGGGTGTCGCTAGCTAGGGATGTTTGACTGACCCACCAGAAGGTAGCAATTTTCCTATCAGCTGATGTGCAACTCTAACATGATGTCCAAAGTTCTCAGACCATATGCATATAGTTAAAATATGCTAAACATTGTTAAACATTGTTAAACTAGGTCAAAATACAAACGCAACGATATGTCTGATATGGGACTGTCAGGTCAAACATTGTTTTTGGACAAATGCAACCATTGATGCTAGCAGCAAAGAATTGGCGACCACTTCTTGAAGGAACCCGGTTTGGGCACCGCACCATTTCCATGAGCCACCTTCTTCACCTGGCAATGCGCACCACGCACTCCCTGAACACTGAGAGAGGATCAAAGGTCTAAAGTCAAGTTGCGTACCCCTGAAGTGATCATGACATAGGGGACAAACCAATGGAACACCAAAGAAGACCTCAGGGTGCAGCCGATTACTCACTGACATCACCAAAAGGTCTAAAGTAATCTAAAGTATTGTTCCAGCTCTGTTAGCCACTGACCACACAGAGTAAACCCATAATCTAAAGATATCTAAAGTATTGTTCCAGCTCTGTTAGCCACTGACCACACAGAGTAAACCCATAAGGAAGATCAACTTAGATCATCTTAGATCCATCTGGGCTGGCCTCTGTGCATTCTGGTACAGCAGCCCCAGCAGCCGCACCATCTTGCGCAATTCCATCTCAGAGGTAAGTCAAGTGGAGAGATTTTGACGGAAACCACAAATACACTAATTCTCGTGGATACGATGGGTCTAAACTAAAGTTCCCACACCCCCTGGTGATGGAATGAAACTGAAAAGGACTGGTGACATCATGAAAGACCCTATCAGCTGAAGCGCAACTCGAACAGGACAGAAAGATACACGACTCTTGACTCAAAAGCTTTCAACAGCTGACGCCCACCTTGAACAAATCTCCACAATAGATCTGTACATAATATGGATCAAATGACATAGTTATCCTGCAAATCGTCCTTGGGCAACAAAAATGTCAAGACCCTCTGAGAAGCTATGGTCCCACACCCTGATGCCTTTGCAGTTTGTTGTCAACGTTGTCCTGCAAAGGCCACATGCTAAAAACAGAAACACACTGTCACCGTCAAATGCCAAAAGGTCTGCAGTATTGTTCCACGTCTGTTAGCCACTGACCACACAGAGTAAACCCATAAGGAAGATCAACTTAGATCCATCTGGGCTGGCCTCTGTGCGTTCTGGTACAGTATTTCCTTCAACTGCACCATCGCGCTCAACTTCACCTCAGGCGGGTGTCGCTAGCTAGGGATGTTTGACTGACCCACCAGAAGGTAGCAATTTTCCTATCAGCTGATGTGCAACTCTAACATGATGTCCAAAGTTCTCAGACCATATGCATATAGTTAAAATATGCTAAACATTGTTAAACATTGTTAAACTAGGTCAAAATACAAACGCAACGATATGTCTGATATGGGACTGTCAGGTCAAACATTGTTTTTGGACAAATGCAACCATTGATGCTAGCAGCAAAGAATTGGCGACCACTTCTTGAAGGAACCCGGTTTGGGCACCGCACCATTTCCATGAGCCACCTTCTTCACCTGGCAATGCGCACCACGCACTCCCTGAACACTGAGAGAGGATCAAAGGTCTAAAGTCAAGTTGCGTACCCCTGAAGTGATCATGACATAGGGGACAAACCAATGGAACACCAAAGAAGACCTCAGGGTGCAGCCGATTACTCACTGACATCACCAAAAGGTCTAAAGTAATCTAAAGTATTGTTCCAGCTCTGTTAGCCACTGACCACACAGAGTAAACCCATAAGGAAGATCAACTTAGATCATCTTAGATCCATCTGGGCTGGCCTGTGTGCATTCTGGTACAGCAGCCCCAGCAGCCGCACCATCTTGCGCAATTCCATCTCAGAGGTAAGTCAAGTGGAGAGATTTTGACGGAAACCACAAATACACTAATTCTCGTGGATACGATGGGTCTAAACTAAAGTTCCCATATCCCCTGGTGATGAAATGAAACTGAAAAGGACTGGTGACATCATGAAAGACCCTATCAGCTGAAGCGCAACTCGAACATGAGAGCTGAACGATGCCAACGCAACAGGCTTCAAAAACCACTGTTCAGGAACCTTGTTTGGGCACCGCACTGGTTCCAGGCGGCGGTGCAGTCCCCTGGCAATGAAAACCGTGCAGCCCAAAGAAAGTACATCTCACATCATCTCACTACATCAATCTACAGTACTCATCAATAACCAACATCATGAAAACATATGAAAACTAAGAATGCATCCAATTGACATCCATCCTGCACACCTACCGCAAGATGAACACTGAGAGGGTGTCAAAGGTCTAAAGTCAAGTTCCTCATCCCTGAACTGATGATGACATAGTACCAAAACCAATGGAACACCATAATAGACCCCAGGTTGTAGCCAACTGAACTTCCAAATGACATCGACTGATCAAATCTCGGTGCAGACCTCTGGTGCTGCAACGATCTGGCCTCAGAGGAGGTTGGTGTTCATTTGTGATAATTCCATGGTTGTTCATGTTTCTTTTTCCACGCTCTAATGGTGAAGGGTTTCTACAGGGTGATGAGTTGAAAACTAGCAACGTGTCACAATCTGCATGGTCGTGTGTCACATTCTCGTGGATACGATGGGTCTAAACTAAAGTTCCCATATCCCCTGGTGATGAAATGAAACTGAAAATGAATGGTGACATCATGAAAGACCCTATCTTTTGCTCGACGCGCACAATTCACATCAGTTCATCATGGAGCTGGCATGGCCAGGGCTTTGAACTGCTGGGTCAATCGAACCTGTTTATTTACAAGTCCTGCAAAGATTGGACCCAGATCTTAAAGATTGCACGAGCAAATGCAGGCGTGTAGTTGGCAGACAAGCAAAGGTGCTTACCTCCTTGGACAGTTTTTTTCGACTGTCCCTTCACACCCTTAACAACATAGGTCCGCGGGCTCTTGCGCTTGGCTTGACGAAGCTCCTGAGCGTTGCAAATCTTGGAGACAGGTGGAAGCATTTGAGCAATCACACAAATCTATGGTCCTCCCCAAGGGTCTAACGTGAAGTTGTCTATGTGCGGGTTTCAAATTCCGTTGGTCAAAATATACCTCAAAGCAAAATAGACCCAAGAGGAGACACCTCATTAGCAACCAAACAATTCCAACAAGAAAAAACATCAAGGAAACCATCAACACAATCAAACCATTTGTATAGGATAGTCCACTTCCTCCCAAAGGGTCTGGAGTGAAATTACCTAAGCAAATGTGTAAATATCCCATTGGTAATGCATACCCCAAATGAAAATAGATCCATTTAGATTCTGGGTAGAAATGATATGGATGATTCAAGCCTAACAATGTCAGCACAAACTTAATCAAACAGCAACATGTTTGAATACCAACCATGCATCAAACCGCTTCTTGAACTTCTCACGGTCAGCCTTGCGCATCACACGAGTGAGGCCTTTGATGCCTGGTAGGTTTCCCATCAAATGCGTTGGCTTCAGCATGTCGTGCTGGAAGAACGCCATCCTCGGAAGAGACATCAAATCAAAAATTAGATGATGTGTGGAGTGGCTCTGCGCAACTCAACACGTACAAAACGACATCAAAATCACTGAAAAAACATACATCAGATCAAACGAAGGGTCCATGTTGTGATCTTTGTGCAACATGCTACCGCTGCTAGGGCCAGCATGCAGTTCATCTTGAAGAGATAGGAAGAACATGGCTGCTCTATGATGAACCAGACCTTTCGATAACGATTGAGAAGCTCCAACCAAACTGCAAAGTTGTGGGCCAACAAATTGGACATTCTGACTCGGAAGTTCTCAACGTCGCCCTCTGGACCAAGTTCATGGCGCCGATGCACACTTGTAGACCTCAGCTGGAATCGAGAAAATCATGGAAAGATCCTCAGAAATAACCATATGGTCAATTTCTCAAGCCGCATAAATTACAATATCCAGTATCTATGAAAAGAATTCTTGCCCCGCATATAGCAAGGCAACTTAATCTCACAAACCTACCATCTTCCCAGCAATCAATCTCGACTGGCTACAGGAAGATATTCATTGCGCATGGCGGTCCTGCTACCACCATACCGCCTGCAATCAGTCGCATCCCCAAGCCTAAGTGGCAAAGGCTATCATGGTTCATCAATCTCGACCTCATTCAACCACATTCCACCTGCAATCGTTCTGCACGTTGCATAAGTCTACCCTTATCAACCAACTATGTGAAGCAATTTTCACACATCATGCCATATAATTAACAGTGATCACTGAGACAGGGAACGACATAGTTGCAAGAATCCTCGTTTGCTTAGCAAGTCGTTGCTTCTGTGGTTGAGCCCTATGTCATACTGCTCGGCACTCCAGCCTTTCTGTCGCCAGCATTTGGCGATGGTTCCTGAATACCCGAACACGTCAAGGCATGATAAATCTTGAACACCTGAATACTCACGCAAGTATTGGTCCAGCTCTTCCATGTGGCGCTCTGCATGGAACCACTGGCCCTCAGATAATGAGGTGCTCAAGTCCTCCTGCGCGCGCCAATGACACCCAGGACCTGCTTGTACCATCTTTTACTGCCTCAAGAAGCTTTAGTGAACTCAACACACATACACATAGTTTCCCCATGTTTCCCCCTTGTCCTCCTTGGCGGCTTCCAAGGGGTGGAAAATGATGAGTAGCCATGTCAAAATCCACTGCCGACTCTCCATGGCTGAAAAGGACTCAATGGCAGGAATTAGAAACCCAGAAGCGCTCACACCGCACACCTTCAATCTGAGCAACAAAAATCAAAACAATCGATCCAACATGTCACAATCTGCATGGTCGTGTGTCACCAATTCTCGTGGATACGATGGGTCTAAACTAAAGTTCCCATATCCCCTGGTGATGGAATGAAACTGAAAAGGACTGGTGACATCATGAAAGACCCTATCAGCTGAAGCGCAACTCGAACATGAGAGCTGAACGATGCCAACGCAACAGGCTTCAAAAACCACTGTTCAGGAACCTTGTTTGGGCACCGCACTGGTTCCAGGCGGCGGTGCAGTCCCCTGGCAATGAAAACCGTGCAGCCGAAAGAAAGTACATCTCACATCATCTCACTACATCAATCTACAGTACTCATCAATAACCAACATCATGAAAACATATGAAAACTAAGAATGCATCCAATTGACATCCATCCTGCACACCTACCGCAAGATGAACACTGAGAGGGTGTCAAAGGTCTAAAGTCAAGTTCCTCATCCCTGAACTGATGATGACATAGTACCAAAACCAATGGAACACCATAATAGACCCCAGGCTGTAGCCAACTGAACTTCCAAATGACATCGACTGATCAAATCTCGGTGCAGACCTCTGGTGCTGCAACGATCTGGCCTCAGAGGAGGTTGGTGTTCATTTGTGATAATTCCATGGTTGTTCATGTTTCTTTTTCCACGCTCTAATGGTGAAGGGTTTCTACAGGGTGATGAGCTGAAAGGGAGCAACATCCCACAATCTGCATGGTCGTGTGTCACCAATTCTCGTGGATACGATGGGTCTAAACTAAAGTTCCCATATCCCCTGGTGATGGAATGAAACTGAAAAGGACTGGTGACATCATGAAAGACCCTATCAGCTGAAGCGCAACTCGAACATGAGAGTTGAACGACGCCAACGCAACAGGCTTCAAAAACCACTGTTCAGGAACCTTGTTTGGGCACCGCACTGGTTCCAGGCGTCGGTGCAGTCCCCTGGCAATGAAAACCGTGCAGCCCAAAGAAAATACATCTCACATCATCTCACTACATCAATCTACAGTACTCATCAATAACCAACATCATGAAAACATATGAAAACTAAGAATGCATCCAATTGACATCCATCCTGCACACCTACCGCAAGATGAACACTGAGAGGGTGTCAAAGGTCTAAAGTCAAGTTCCTCATCCCTGAACTGATGATGACATAGTACCAAAACCAATGAAACACCATAATAGACCCCAGGTTGTAGCCAACTGAACTTCCAAATGACATCGACTGATCAAATCTCGGTGCAGACCTCTGTTGCTGCAACGATCTGGCCTCAGAGGAGGTTGGTGTTCATTTGTGATAATTCCATGGTTGTTCATGTTTCTTTTTCCACACTCTAATGGTGAAGGGTTTCTACAGGGTGATGAGTTGAAAGGGAGCAACATCCCACAATCTGCATGGTCGTGTGTCACCAATTCTCGTGGATACGATGGGTCTAAACTAAAGTTCCCATATCCCCTGGTGATGAAATGAAACTGAAAAGGACTGGTGACATCATGAAAGACCCTATCAGCTGAAGCGCAACTCGAACATGAGAGCTGAACGATGCCAACGCAACAGGCTTCAAAAACCACTGTTCAGGAACCTTGTTTGGGCACCGCACTGGTTCCAGGCGGCGGTGCAGTCCCCTGGCAATGAAAACCGTGCAGCCCAAAGAAAGTACATCTCACATCATCTCACTACATCAATCTACAGTACTCATCAATAACCAACATCATGAAAACATATGAAAACTAAGAATGCATCCAATTGACATCCATCCTGCACACCTACCGCAAGATGAACACTGAGAGGGTGTCAAAGGTCTAAAGTCAAGTTCCTCATCCCTGAACTGATGATGACATAGTACCAAAACCAATGGAACACCATAATAGACCCCAGGTTGTAGCCAACTGAACTTCCAAATGACATCGACTGATCAAATCTCGGTGCAGACCTCTGGTGCTACAACGATCTGGCCTCAGAGGAGGTTGGTGTTCATTTGTGATAATTCCATGGTTGTTCATGTTTCTTTTTCCACACTCTAATGGTGAAGGGTTTCTACAGGGTGATGAGTTGAAAGGGAGCAACATCCCACAATCTGCATGGTCGTGTGTCACCAATTCACGTGGATACGATGGGTCTAAACTAAAGTTCCCACACACCCTGGTAGTAGAATGAAACTGAGAAAGGCTGGTGGCATCAAAAAAACAACGATAACTCCACCAGTAACAGCTCACAACGAGTTCACGATTTTTGTCACCCTGGCAATTGCGATTCGCTATGGTGCTAGGCTGTTCTCATGATTGGTCTTTGATCAAACAAAACACTTGCTACAAACCTTGACCTTCTGAGGGCTCTTCATGTTGCAGCAGCCTGGATCACTGTGGATACAATGTCCAGAACTTGGAAGGTACAAAAACTCACTGGAAAATGATCTTACACCACGATCCAGCTTTGAATTGGCTTTCTTCTTTTCAGGAGCGACATGTTCTTCCTCACCTGTCATGATATCTGAGCAACATCCCGAAGATTTGCGCGCAGACCAGCACCACCACAGACACCAAGAGCAAAGAGCGCCCAGGAAAAAGGGTATCAGGCAAAACAACTCAAGCGGCACGGTGTAGTCATCACCCATGGCCCCACAAATCACCAACAAACACGAAAGGGTGGGCTGAAACGAGCTGAAAGCACTTGATCTCAAATAGGCTGCAAATTGAAAGATATTTTTGTTATTGATGATTACGCCCGAAGGGTCACACACACCACTCAACATCTGAGCTACCCCACCAGGAATTTTATTTCGCATGCTTAGTGAGAAGGCTTCACGCGCCTGACGTTGCCAGCGAAGGACTGGGGGATGCCTTCTGGTGTAGACACGGGGGATGCCTTCTGGTGTAGACATGCAAGTTGAAAAAGATACAGAGTCTAGACCAAGTTTTCCACTGTTGGGCACAACATGGCACAATTGAAAGCAATGAAACCACTGACATTTCCTAGCTGCATCCAGTCACGATACGCACCGTCCTTCTTCCGAGGCATCTCGCTCAACCATTGCCAAGGGACTTCGCCGCAAGGCCTGATGAACACTGACAAGGAAACTGGCATAACACGAATGATACATGACCCTTCCAATTAGCACATGATACCTTAGGAGACTGTACAAGCTGACCAGTGAGTGCAGTCCAGCAACGTTAGTCCCACATGCGGCGATTTACGAGGTGCAGCGCCGGTCAACACAACCTTCAGGCACTTACTCCTGCAAACTGAAATCTGACATGACATGTCTGCGTTCCAACAAAAAGGCCAAATGACACTAGCATATATCATGATCCAATGGCTGAGCTTGTCATGGTCCTCCTGGCCAACCCTGGGGGTCTAAGGTGAAATTGCCTATCTTTGGATTTGAATATCCCAGGGGAAAAACACACAGCAAACCACAATAGACCCTGGATACAAAGGAAATGATTAGCAACTTTTGTGCCAAACCACAACGTTAAGCAATAGAACATGTATATACATCTAACATTATTGTTTCAATGGCAACGACCCAAAAACTTCATCACCAAAACAAACTTCTGTACCGCTGAGCTTGTCATGGTCTTCCTGGCCAACCCTGGGGGTCTAAGGTGAAATTGCCTATCTTTGGATTTGAATTTCCCAGGGGAAAAACACACAGCAAACCACAATAGACCCTGGATACAAAGGAAATGATTAGCAACTGTTGTGCCAAACCACAACGTTAAGCAATAGAACATGTATATACATCTAACATTATTGTTTCAATGGCAACGACCCAAAAACTTCATCACCAAAACAAACTTCTGTACCGCTGAGCTTGTCATGGTCTTCCTGGCCAACCCTGGGGGTCTAAGGTGAAGTTGCCTATCTTTGGATTTGAATTTCCCAGGGGAAAAACACACAGCAAACCACAATAGACCCTAGATATTCATGTGAGACCCCTGGGCTACTCAGAAGCAGGGCTACTCATAGAGCCTTGTCCAAAAAGGAGCCTTAAGTCCTGAACATTTGAAATTATACCTAAACATTCCCCAAAATTCAAAATCATTCTGAATAACTAATTAATTTTCAAGCAAGCAGAAAAATCCTAAAATATTTGAAATGTTACACTGCCGCAAAATTCTTAAAAATTCCACGAAACGAAATTCCAACAAATTCTCCCCAAAAAAAACGAACAAATCCAAAACATTCCGAGAAAAAAACGAAACATTCCAAAACATTCCGAAGAAATTCCGACAAAAAACAGAGAGTCCAAAAAAAAAAGAAACAGAACATGAAATATCAAAAAATAAAAATAAAAATAATGAAATGAAATGTTTTGGAATTTTCCTGAATGATGGGCTCACACAAAATATCTGTACTTAGAACCAAACTGCTTGAAATATTCACCAAAAAATTGCTCACCCAAACTGTTATGGTTCTCCTCCATAGCAGCATCTCCGCATCCCATTCAGGATCCGAAGCGTCATCCCCGCACTTCTCCTGAGTTACAAGCCCTATGTTTCATACATTTTCATACCATTTTTCGAAAACATAGCCATATCACAGGCTTGTGATATTGAAAAAACAGTGCATCAAGTTTTGGAAAGTGCATCAAGTAATGTGTTATCAACATTCTTCAACCCAAAAAAACAGTGGACACCCCAAAAAAAACGGTTTGGAAGTCAAGCTTCACAGCGCTTCGGCGCACATGGCTTGGAAGTAGCCATGTTTGAGTCGTTTGAGATTTTTTGAGCAAAAAAATGGGCTTCGGCATCCCCGGCAGTGGTCCTTGATCGAAAATGATTTTTTTTAACCGGCATGCTAATTGAGTGCTTCGCAGCAAGGTTTACCAACCTTTTGTGCTTGCAAATTGGCAAAAAAAATATATCCCTTCAGGGGTGGTGGTTCATCTCATCAAAGTTCGTCTTATCAAAGTTGATCAAAAACCAGCAAAGGGTCTAAGATGAAGTTCCCTAGGAGTTAGGCAAAAGGTCTAAAGTGAAGTTACCACCTTCCAACATGTACATGTTAAGGGTCTGAGGTGGTAGCTGGCTAGGGTCTAATGTGAAAGAAAAAACAGTTTAGACCCAAAATAATTTGAGCCCTATGCACAAGGCTTCAGACCCTTTCGTAGTTGGGAGGATCTTTGTACTACAAAGCTTGCACAAAGCCGTTCCCAGTACTACTTTGTACTACACAGCTTGCACAAAGCCGCTCCAGTACTACTTTGTACTACACAGCTTGCACAAAGCACTTCCCAGCACTACTGTGTACTACACAGCTTGCACAAAGCACTTCCCAGTACTACTTTGTACTACACAGCTTGCACAAAGTCGCTCCCAGTACTACTGTGTACTACAAAGCTTGCACAAAGTCGTTCCCAGTACTACGTTGTACTACACAGCTTGCACAAAGCCGTTCCCAGTACTACTTTGTACTACACAGCTTGCACAAAGCCGCTCCAGTACTACTTTGTACTACACAGCTTGCACAAAGCACTTCCCAGCACTACTGTGTACTACACAGCTTGCACAAAGCACTTCCCAGTACTACTTTGTACTACACAGCTTGCACAAAGTACTTCCCAGTACTACTTTGTACTACAAAGCTTGCAGAAAGCACTTCCCAGTACTACTTTGTACTACAAAGCTTGCAGAAAGCACTTCCCAGTACTACTTTGTACTACAAAGCTTGCAGAAAGCACTTCCCAGCACTACTGTGTACTACACAGCTTGCACAAAGCACTTCCCAGTACTACTTTGTACTACACAGCTTGCACAAAGTACTTCCCAGTACTACTTTGTACTACAAAGCTTGCAGAAAGCACTTCCCAGTACTACTTTGTACTACAAAGCTTGCAGAAAGCACTTCCCAGTACTACTTTGTACTACAAAGCTTGCAGAAAGCACTTCCCAGTACTACTGTGCACTACAAAGTTTGCACAAAGCTTGCACTACTGCGTTGACCAAGCGCCTTCGCTGAGACGATATGCGCGCACGATGCATGAAAAAAAAGTTTGTTTTCCTATTGCAGAGGTTTTCACTCGTAGTCCAAGAACGTGAATACATTCGGGTTCGTGGCTTCCATCTTGTTTTGCTATGAATGAGGGCATCTTCTCAGAAGCTTGCCTGTCCAAACTGCTGTCTGAGTCAATCTGAACGAGCCAGAAAACGATGAATCTGACCCAACAGGGGAAAATAGTGGAAAATAACACAGTGTTGTGGATCACGTTCTGCTCAATCCCCTGGCCCGCTTGGGTGCCTTTGTTGCTGGGTTCGGGACTTCTAAGTGCTGGATGTTCTTTTTGGTCTCAGGTCATTGAATTCAGTTGGTTGGCAATACGCTCTCCTGTTTGCATCTCAAATTTATAAAAGAGTGATCTTCCCTGAAGCACGGGGTCATTTCCGCACCATTCTGTACATCCATGTGACGTGGCGAACCATTTGTTGACTGTTTTGGGTTTAGTTGGTTTTATGTACACATAGATAGATTGGATGGATGGATCGATAGATAGACAGACAAACGTATAGATAAATAGATTAGATACATTAATGTGCCGTATGCCATATACATATATGCCCACAAAGATTAGATAGATAGTTTAGATAGATTATATATATAGTAGATAGATTCGATAGATAAGATAAGATAAAATAAGATAAGATTAGACTAGATTAGGTTAGGTTAGATTCGATAGGTAAAGCACGGTAAAACCACAAAAGCCACACACCCACAAAAGCCAGAGAAGCCACAAAAGCCACAAAGCCAGGCTGGAAAACAAAAACAAAAAATTGCCCTCCCTTCTTTAACTTCTTAAAGGTCTTAAAGGTAAAGCATGTAATGACTCAGTTTTGAAGACCTACATTGGGCGCATGAGGGCGTATGTGGGGGCCCTGCGAATTCAAACGCAAGATGCAACATTAATTGGATTTAATTGGTATACTGGTGTTGGTTGGATCGGGGTCAAGGGATCGGAGTCTAGATGGGTCGGATCGGAATCTCCGTTGGTTGGATCGGGACGGTATAGATAGCAACCTTGCGGACTACCCAGACCATTCCGATGGTCCCAACAGTCCCAACAAAGAAACCCTAAAGGAACCCTGAAACCCTAAAGATCCTAAAGAAATCCGTCCCGACCGTCCCGACCATCCCGATCGTCTTTGACGCTAATTCTGTGACGCTGATCCGAACCTATGTATGTTGATTCCGAACGTTGCTCTGGGACGCTGATTCGACTCGATAGTTTCTGACACGGAATTTACATGAATTTACTCTAATTGGTACTAGTTGGAAGTAACAATGGACGGGATGTCAGATGATGCTATGATGTGCTGAGCCCTGCCTGATTCCTCCAGGTCAAGGTTCCAGATTTGCAGAGTCTCGCTACTTCTCCACAGCTAAAGTTCCTGCTCCACAGTCTTCTTCCGATTGCCTGGTGTTGTGCAGCCTAAGCTGTGATCCGAATCAAGTACTGAGCATCGTGCAATGGACACCACCGGTGATGACGGAGAAGTCTGCTGTGATGCTTTAGCTGCTACACATCGGCATGGCCATGGTGGTATGTGATGTGGCTTGACCTGCACCAAGATCCCAGCACCGGACTGAAGCAGCGCAAGACCACAGACAGGGCAAAAAAAGCAAATCATTGCAATTATTTGCCAAACCGTTAAGCGGCCAAATGTTCGCAGCCCATTTCTCTTCTGATCTGGTAGGACACCCTCCGTGTATGCTCGACCAGTAAAAACGTCCAGGTTGGCCTCTGGGGATAGGAGTTCAAGCAGTGGTTCGTCATGGAGTCTTGCGTAAGGGATGACGAAAGCGGAGCAAAACAAGCGAGAGCGCGCCTTTGGAGTCTATCGCCATGTTGTACCAGAAAAGAGCTGTTCCTCTCCGCGGTTTCACTGCCTGGACAAGAAACTCATAGCAGACTCTCGCAGCCCACGTCTCTCTTTGCATGTGGGCTGTGACAAATAGCTGTATACAATGTGCGACAAATAGACTTTCAAACAAATACCAACCTGAGAAAGTTGAGAAAGTCCGCCCGCACCGAAGGTGCTGGGGCGTGATCTTCCGGATGGCACTCGTAAAAGGTTACAGGTTTACCGGGGGGGGGGGCATTTTTCGGCCAAAACCTCCTGTTTTTGATAGGTCGTGACGCTCGCCTTCAAAAAACACTGTAAAAAACAGTACGGAAGACACCTGTTCGTGAACGCGCCCGTCCAAAATCGGCAAGCGAAAAGTGAAAAAACCCCGTGTTTTTCAACTTTTTGACCTCAATTTTTTGGTTTGCAACATCTTTTTTTGCGGTTCCGCAGGTGGCCGGGCCCGGAGGCGGATTTTTGAGTTTTTGGACCCGTTTTCGGACTGATTTTCGTCGTTTTGTGATAGCAGAAACACTGGTTTTTACAGTGTTTTTCTGTTTTCTGCATGCTTGACGGCTAGCTTCAAAACTTCCAAAAACCTCGTAAATTACGCTGTTTTATGTTACGGTGTGAATGAAAACATCGTAAATACCAGTGTTTTTTGACGTTGGTTAAAAAAACACTGTAAATTACAGTGTTTTTGGCCACCTGACCCTCAAAAACCATGGTATTTGCAGTGGTTTCTGCTTCTCACCGCGCAAAAACACTGTAAATAACAGCAATTTCACCGTTTTTTCATGTTTTTCGTTATTTTTTGAACTGCGTTGGTCCGCTATACATGGCTATCAAATTCTTCGCGTTTTTTTCCTCCGACAATCAGTACTTTCGGATGTGTTTGGTCTCAATGGCCGACATCATTGGCAGTTACGAGCGGCTGCCCAACGATGCGGTGCGGGCGGTTGCCGTCGCGAAGCGACGTGAATAATGACACTTGGTGTGTGGTGGACAGAGACACAGCAACTTACTATTGGTCTGCATGTATCTGCCAAAGAACCAAAGCTGTAGAAAATGGCGGAGGCATTGTGCCATTCCGAGGGCAGCTGGCCACCGATTGGCATCGAGATTCAATTTCTCCCCAAACTTCTTCCTTGAAGCCGCCCATAGGGCCCAAAGATCCAAAAGGATCCAAAAGGCCCATAAGCATTTGTTGTCTGCATGGGATCTCTCTCTAAAGCGACAAAGTTGCGTTAAATCGTGTTCATGGAAGTTTTTGACCATCGTTTCAATCACGTCACAGCTGATGGCCCTGATGGCTTTTCTGCCATGTCTCCGGCCATCTGAATACCACACATCGCCAAAAATTCCAAACAAATCTACAAGATATACAAGTAACATCAAGTAACGTCCTTATCCGAACGAGTCCGCACTCTAGCTTTCCTGGGCGAGACTCTCCCTGAAGCGCCCTCTCTTTTCCATACGTACCATTCAAGTCGGTGCCGAAAAGCACCGTTTCACCTCCCTCAGTGACGTCATTCAGAAAAAAAAATACTGTCATGAAGCGCGCGTCATCGGGATAGTCAGGTGCCTTAGATCAAAATCCAAAAAGCAGTGGCTGCACCAAATTTCATTCAGGCCCCTCAATCTACAGTCCATCCAAAAGCTTCACTGCGTATGTGCATGAGCTCTACATGACTGACATCACAAGGAACAGCTTCGGTCATATCGCTTCATCCAACAATGCGACGCAGAGCCAAATAATGGCAGGTATTTACCAAACAGACTACAAACACCGGAAAGCCAATGTGTCACATCAAGATCATCAAGCAGCCCTGCAAGGAAGCAACGGCGAAGACTGTTGCCCCGACAAGCAGAAACAAGCGCTCACATGATTGCAAAACATACATCACAGAAAACAAAGGGAATTGAGGAAGAGAAGCTCCAACGACACAGGCAAAAGCAACAAAAGGTCCGGCAACCATGTGGGGCAAGGAATTGTGCTGTATTTGAATGTGTCTCATGCTATCCTGTTATCAGGGGAAAGCGGGTAGGATGAAATGCTGACAGCGTCTGGTAGGACATTTTGAAAAGTAAAATGCGTGCACTTTTACAATTTTACATGGCCTGCAGCACCATTTTCATCCATTTTCAGCATTTGGTCTTGAAAGCTTGAACAGCATTAGCACACACACTTGAAACATCGTGAAACCCTTCTGAAGCCTCTTTCCTGTTCTTGCATGCCCTTAGACAAGGCCAGTCCGAAATCTGAGGTAGCCGCTGTATCATGATGACACGAATAGTGCCCCCCATTTGGGGGATAGACCAGAACTTGCATGCTCTCCGCAGTCTCACGAACCAGGGTTTCTGACAAGCCAGTGACCTTGGGCTGATAGGGCAGGGTGATGGAAATGTTGTTTCTCTATGTTTCTCTTGCAAATGGCATCAGGGAGCAGGACTCTGAATGACTCTGACATCTCGGGCGCCGACTGCTGCAACATTGTCCAAGACACTCTGGAGGAAAGAGTGCTCTGAGTACCTCGCCAGAACAAATCTGCCACTATCATGGTTTGCAAGGGAAGTTTTGCATAGTTGCCTACACTAAAGGGGTGGGTCCACGAGATCAATCTGATTTTGAAGCAATAGCACAGCACTCGCAAATATTATATCGCAGTGCACGGTGCACAGCAGTGTATTTGTGGAGCGTTGCTTCTGGTATTGTGGAATCATTTGGAATCTCCTAAGTTTCACGGCGGCACTAGCCAAGTCACATCATCCAAGTCTGACGGGAATGCCGAGCAAACCTTGAATGCGCGGGGATTTCTCCTATGTTCAAGATATCACGGCATGCATTTGCATCAAAATGCATTCAACGGCTGCGTGCAAATCAATGCTGCGCACAGAGTTTCAATCGGAGAACACAATGCTGAGCCACAAGAAGCTTCCGACAGTTGTTACAAAAGCTCCATGTTGCCTCCTTCTGGCTCAAATGAGTGGCCATTCTGGGTGCAACTTCTTTGCGTCGGCGAAGAGTTGATTCCAGTTTGTGGCAATGAATTCCTGCTTCCTTACCTGCGTGCCAAATTGCTGCTGACTATGCTTGTTACCTGACGTTCTGCAGGCTGTCGGCTACATAGTTGTTACGCAATTTGTGGGTGCCACGTGCTGCATGCCCTTCTACAATCTACATCCTTCATCATCCTTCTACCAACTCTTCCCATTCCAATGGTGTCCAGCCTTCGTGTTGGTTTTTGTCAGGTTCGGCACCCTGAGCACTGTTGGAAGAACAGTACTGCGTCGGAAGAATTCGCAGGGGTCAGAACAAAGCGGCGGAACAAGTGCTCATGAAGTGCTCGTAACGTGTTCCAAGCCTTGGGGTCAAAAAGTCCCAGGTAAAGTCCACCAAATCAAAGGCCTGCAAGCGAATAATAGATAATAATAGCGAATATACATGAATATACATGAATGAACCAGAGGTCACTCAAACTGGGACCATTTCTGTTGACTTTGATGCGAACTGGATGTATTGAGCAGGAGCTTTCCTCTCTGAAAAACTGCGCGATTTCTTCTGCATCCAAGGCTTTGTCACGATTCTCCTGAGAGCTGCCATCAGACGTTCCAAGTAGATGAGTTACAGAAAGTTACAGTAGATTAGTTCAAACATTGCAACGGTGAGGAACCCTTATAACAACCCTCAAACCATTGCAAGCCTCAGATCTTGTTGGAAACATGGTAAGCTGGAACCTTGCAACCTTTCCATACATTTCCCACGAAGGAACCTGTAAGGAGCCATGGAGACTAAAGTGACTATAGATGTTACATGTATAGAACAGGTTTGGAACTTCATCAAATCTGTCAGGCAACCGAAAAATCTGTAGAATCAGTAGAATTCTTCTTGAGGACCAGTTCCAGAAGTGTCCATCCGCATTGACAAATTGAAAGTTTCCAACCTGGTTCTTGCCTGCAACTATCTATAACATTCTATAACTATAGCACCTGCAGACATGCACGCCTGAAACCTTGCAAGCTTAGAACTTTGGAAAGACAACCCTAACAATACAGCATAATACAGAAAAAAAAACGTAAATATAGCTCAAATTAGCTCAGACTCGTCGAGATCTTTGAACATTTTCGCGGCTTTCCGAGGACTGATGGGTTGGCCTTTGTCGTCGTTATCTGTTAGGCCTTGTCTCAAGAGCGTTCCACTGTGCTGCAGTGTGCTGCATTGGTATCCTCACAACTGAGTATCAGTGAGACCAGTGAGACCTTACTTTCAATTCTTTTGTGTTGTCGTGCATTGATGTGCCTATGGCCTATTAAAAAATGCCAAAGGCTCCGACTTTCTTCCATCATGGAGGAGGGAGCAGCTGAACGAATCGCTGCACACTCCTCGCATGACCAATCGCTCAACAGATCTCCACTTCATTGCGGTAAACAGCAAATGGGGAATATTCGCATGTCTTTGCCTGTCCTCTTCTGTTAGCAAATCTTGGACTTCGAACACTGGAAGCCCCGTGCCTAGATGACTGAGTAGGCAACAGGCAACAATCGCAATGCAGCAAAACAAAAGTGCACACAAATCAGCTACTGTACCAAGCACTTAAGGTACTCAGCAAACATCAAGTGCATCCGCATCCCAGTTCGCCATTAGAATCCATTATTATTATCATCTATTATCATCTATAATCTATTGGAAGCAAGATGCTGAAATCACTGCGCGTCACAATCTCAACATCTCGGCCATCTTTCAGTCGCACGGACACTGCATGGTCAATCTTCACGGGGTCGCGGACAACAAACCTTGCAAATGCGTCCGCTGTAAAGCATTGTCTACAGCCTTTAGGGCCTTTGTCATAAAAAACGCGGCATTTAACCCAAAAGTTGCCAAACGTACGGAAGCGACAACTTGTAATAGCATGGCCGAGTACCTCAAGAAACATCAAGAAACAGAGTCAGTCGAAACTAGTCGAAACCCATACCCGTTTAATCCATTTTAATCCTGTCTTTACCATCGTTCAAAGATCCCTATTATCAACTCCTTTTGTTATCTATCACTTTAGTACATTTTAGTTCTCACTTTGTTTGTCAATTCTTTTGTCCAGTTTGTTCATTACGTTAATCTTTTCCGCTTGATCAACGTGTGTGATTTCTGCTCCAAGTAACTGGGCTCCAACCACATTGTTGGCCTCGGCTTTGCGTTGTCAAACAAACGTGGCGGAACAACTTGGCTCACAAATCCACTTGGCAAACCCACTGCCCCTGCACCCTGCTTCCGAGCGTCGAAGAAAAAACACGCGAAGGCATGCCACATCAGGATGCAAATGCTGGTTCCATGAACTTCTTGCGTTGAAATTGAAATTCAGACATGTTAATGTCTCGTTACGTGGGAGTCTCTCTCTCTCTCTCTCTCTCTCTCTCCCTCCCTCCATCCATCTATCCAGCTCGGTTATATATATATATATTATATACTGTGTTATATATACTTCTCCTCTCCTCGGTGACTCTCTGCCCGCCCTCGTGTCTGCGACTGTCTTCTATATGGGTGCCTTGGACACCAGCGCAATGATCTTTAATGGGCTGCTGATGCTGATAAAGTTTCTGTTCTTGTGTTCGGTGTCAAATTCAACTGGGGCAGGATCCTTCACCTTCTCAACTCAGCGGCATGCATAGCAAGACGCACGTGTTTTGCAATTGGTTCGCAGTGCGTTTTGAACTTTTCGTCAGTGCACCTGGGAAATCTCCACGGTGAAACAAGATTTCTGGCGCAGTTTCAACTGCAAATGCTGCGCGCCAAGCTGGTTCGCCTTCTCTTCCAATGTGGCTCTCGCAGTTCTGAAAGTTGTACTTTCAGGCTTCGTGGTTTTGCACTCTGGTTGTGCTGCCGAAACTACTCCACAGGGTGTGATGAGCTGCGCAGTCGTTCAGCTCGAATTGATGGAAACACGGTCACAACACGGTCACAGGATGTCACAGGTGGGCATCGAAGGTCAAGTGACAGGCTGGGCAATACGCCAGCACTGACATCAACTGGGTTTCGCCTCAAACTTTCACATTTCTCGCATTTCACGCACCTTGACTTCGGCTTGTTATAATTTGATCTCCACCGCCATATGATGTATATAATGTAAAAATATTTTTATATATATAATATATATATATGTATTATTTATCTATAATCGAAGGAAGTTTAGAAGTCAAATTTCCGACAATATGGACAGATGAAAAGCAGAGCAGGGAAGAGGCAGAGAGAAGAGAAAGATCAGAAGGAAAGAAGATGGAGACGCGCGAAAACGTAGGAAAGTCGCAAAACACTATGTTTTTCCAATGATTTGTAGCTCCGGAGGGTCGAAAAGTAGGCTCGCTAAAGCGGCGGGTGCGGAGCCAGCTGGCCAAATAAGTGATGAAAAATTGCACGCCGTTGTGGCGCGAAGCAGATTTCCAAGTCAAAATGGACCACTTTTGGAAGTTGCGATGTCGAAAAAGTGCACGCCGTCGTGGCGTGAAGCACATTTCCAAGTCAAAATGTACAAAACACACCATTGTCGGACCACTTTTGGAAGTTCAGATGTCGAAAAAGTGCACGCCGTTGTGGCGCGAAGCACATTTCCAAGTCAACATGTACAAAACACACCAGGTTCGGACCACTTTTGGAAGTTCAGATGTCGAAAAAGTGCACGCCGTTGTGGCGCGAAGCACATTTCCAAGTCAAAATGTACAAAACACCACATGTTCGCGCCACTTTTGGAGGTTCGGATGTCGAAAAAGTGCACGCCGTTGTGGCGCGAAGGACATTTCGAAGTCAAAATGTTAAAAACACCAGGGGTTCGGATCACTTTTTCGGATGTCGCTTCGCTTCAATACACTACACTACAGGACATTACACTACACTACAGCAGATAAAATACCACAACAGGCAGGTAGATAGATAGATAGATAGATAAATAGATAGATAGACAGACAGACAGACAGATAGATAGATCGATAGATAGATAGATAGATAGGCAGAAACACTCAATCACCTTTCGATCCATGAGTGGCTTCGCTCTGCCATCCCTGATTCACAACAACCAACCTCTCCTATAGGTTTCCTATTTTTGAAACTTCCGCCACGAGGGGACTTTTCGGGAATGATCCACTGGCAACTATCAATTTCATCATCCCAGCAACCCCCAGCAACCCATCCAGCCACCCTACGTAAAACTTCCGCCACCGCCTTGTGCGGTACTACTGGTATATATATATATTATTATATAATACTGTAATGTGTGTGTCTGTGTCTGGGTCTGTGTATTGGTTTCACATGCAGTCGAGCTGCGTTCCATCGTAACGTATTTGCTCACATCGCCAACTCTGTGACCATACCTTTTCAAGAGCGTTTACCAGCTGCTGTTGTTTTTGTCATTCGAGCATCAATATGCTACCGTCTGGCTGACCAAACAATCAAGCTCAAAGCCTGGTGGGGCCTTTGCAGCCAGTCGGGCAAGTGATTTCATCAGAGACCTGAATGCAGCAAAATACTTGATACATTTTGATACATCATGATAGGATTTGATAGGCACGCAGCAGGCACTGCTGCCAAGGCACATTTGAAAAGCGTGATGTCAAAGTTTTTGCCTCAGGTACGGAAGCGAAAACGAATCTGCATGAATCTGCATGAATTTGGTGGCAATGCGCAGCATTATGCTTCAACAATTGCAGGCTACATAAGGCCACACCACTTTTCGTCAGCAAGTCACAGTTTCTTGAGGCCTTACCGGCTCTGTTGGCTTCGGTTCGCTTTCAAGAATCCGGTCGACTGCAGCCTGAGAAATCAGCAGGTAGAGTTCCACACTTGATTTAAAAACCAAACATGTGTCCATCATCTGCATCACAAAATTGACGGACTCATCCAGCATTCAACGAAACAACATGAAACATAACTTTGACATTCTTCGACGCTGTATGACACTGTTCAATCAAGCAAGCAGCCTTGGATGACTCTGAAGGATGGTCGTTGCCTGCGTGGAACAACTCTTCAATCTCCTTCAGGTAAGGCATCATGCAAAATGCACCTAAACAAAGTCCTGCCAATGCCCCAAAGTCCTGCCAATGCCCGTTGCGGAGCCGCGACAAACCTCAACTAGGTATGGTGCACAGCGGCGTAATGAATACATCGGGGTGGGGGAAGGAGCAGTTTGCGCTTTATTTTGTGCCAAAAAACTGCGAGTTCGGTGGGGGATGCCTTGGCAAATGTTACGTGAATGAAAACAAAAGGATTGGAATTCTTGCAGGCGCATCTCAGTGCTTCCCGGACGGTTGTGCAAACGAGAGGCAAACACGTGCTTGATGCCGTGGTCTTGAAGCCAACTCTGCAGCTAAAACAGCGTGCCATTGCTGGCTCTCGGGGCTGCCTGACTTTTGGATATTCACCCGCGCTTCATGAACATCATCGAACCAATGCTGTAACCAGGACAAAGGCAACAAATCTGAGAGCTACGCCAACCAATGCCGATGCGATACTGTCTTGTAACGTTTTGCAAACGTCAGAGTTCGTTCCTGAATCTAAACATTGGCAATGACTCTTGGAAAAAAATATCTCCCCGCCAACATCTCCGCGACACAAAACACACTGATGCACACAAATTCTCCCGACAAGTTGCTTTGCCGCTTGGCTCCTTTGCTGGTTCAAGCGCGCGAGTTGAACTGGAAAATCGAAGCAAATCAATGCTACTGAGGTATACCATGCTGACGCCTCCAGAACCGGCAAGCTCTGGAAACACGAATCGCTGACGAACTCGCAACAAATATCAACGGAACACAAACTTGAGCTACCAACCGGATAAAACGATTTTTCGACTGACCCCCACCAAACGATACTCTATCTGATACTTTGCCTGAAACTTCATCTGCCATGTATTCTGGCATCCTGGCATGTTATCCGACAAATATTCCTACATGCACATGTCACAGTCACATAGAAGTGTAATTATATATATATTATATACTATACTATACTATACTATGCTATGCTATGCTATGCTATGCTATGCTATACTATGCTATACTATACTATGCTATACTATGCTATGCTATGCTATGCTATGCTATGCTATACTATACTATACTATACTATACTATAATAATATTTATTGGGTGTCTTTGGGTGTTTTGTTGGACATTTTATCTGGTATTTGGCCTGCATTTGCCTGCTCTTCTATCTGACAGTTATCTGGCATATTCCAACATATTCCAGCATTTCTTTGCATTGCTGAGATTTTTAAATAAACTGGCAATATCTCGCATTCTATTTGGCATGGTGTTCGGTTCCGGGGCCCCTAGAGCCTGCGAGCTCACCGTAGTGTGCGGTTCGGCGTTGCCCAGAGAAAACTTGAGAGCTGGCGTTGCTGTCCCGGCCCGCGCCTGCCACGTGAAACGAAGGTGGACGTCTCAAAGTGCCACGCCTGCAAGGTGCAGCTACATGTCGCCAAGTGCCACGCCTGCCACGCAAAAAGCCGCGGCGTCCACGGCGACTGCTGGGAACCGAGCGCGCCACCAGAGCCAGCCCAGTGCCATACGTGCCACGCCTGCCACGTTGAGAAGTGGTGTGTGGACAAGTTGTGTGTGAGCAAGTTGTGTGTGAGCAAGTGGTATGATATCAAGTTGTGTGTGAGCAAGTGGTGTGATGACAAGTTACAAGTTCTCATCACACAACTTGTCATCACACCACTTGCTCACACACAACTTGATATCATACCACTTACTCACACACAATTTGCTCACACACAACTTGTCCACACACCACTTCTCATCACACCACTTGTCATCACACCACTTGTTTTCACACTACTTGTCCACACAGAACTTACTCACACGCAACTTGTCATCACATCACACCACTTGTCCACACGCAACTTGTCTTCACACTACTTGTCCACACACATCGTGGTGCATGGACAAGTTGTGGGTGACGGGAGGGTGACGGGAGGAGGCGGCGGACGGGATGCAGAACCAAAAACAAGAACCCCACACAAAGATGTGGGGAAAAACCAGTGCACGACTCCATTTTTTTGGCATGAATTCTCCACGAAACAGGGGGTGGTATCAAGCACGTGCTCACGCTTTTGGTAGTGGAAATGGTAAGGGGGATGCAATTGTTTCGTGCCATGGGGAAGTAAAAAATGTAAGTTATGAAAGTTCAGGCTGACAAACATATGTATTTTGCAGGCACCATCCAGCGCAGCGGCTTTTCAATTTTACATTTATATTGCCTGAAACCTTAAAACACTGTGATATAGTGATATAAAGTGTCATAGCATATCAAAGGATGCCATATAATACCATTTGCTACCAAAAACTATCTGAATCTAAGCCATCCATGACAACCCTTGGTATCTGCAGGTGTGGTGGAAGTCAAACGAGTCAAGGTTTAATGCGTTTGCTCAATGTGTTTCCCATGTGTTGTGGAGCTGCTTTGAAGGTGTTTTCAATGTGTTGGGTTTGGCTCAAAATTATGTCACGCGTTTTTTTTGCAGAAAAATATGTCGTCGAAAAACAGGAGAACTGATTGGAAACCCTGTCTCTTGTGCTGTTTTTCACTGAATACTTGCAGAAAGGTAATTGGGTGCAAAAACATTTGAATGCAGGTTTCAGCGTGCTATGTTATGATTGTTATGATATATCATCATTGTGCATTCTGATGTATTTTTCTGATATGTTATATTCTGATCACATCTGGAGATACCAAGGACTGTCATGGATTATCTGTGGAACCTTCTGCCCCAAAACAAAAAAAAATAGCTGCAGGGGAACTTTCCAAAAACCTGCAAAAACACATGAAAACTGTGACCTTCAGGAATGCGTTAACGAAATGACCTATCTCTCCACCTACCTACCTACCTACCTACCTACCTACCGACCGACCGACCGACCTATTTTTACCGCGCGAGGTCCCACTCTGCAAGAATCTATCTATCTATCTATCTATCTTTCTATCTATCTATCATTATCTATCATTATCTATCTATATCTATCATTATCTATCTATCTATCTATCTGTCTATCTGTCTGTCTGTCTGTCTATCTATCTATCTATCTGTCTATCTATCTGTCTGTCTATCTATCTATCTATCTATCTATCTTTAGTTCCTATGTTTTAAAAAAACGGCAGCCCCTTTTCCATCTATTGTACTCCATTGTATCCCTCAGCATATTGGTGGATCTCTAGGCCAAATCTCTGCTCAAGAAAATTCAAGACATAGTTGCCATGAAAACATACCTCCAATGAATTTCTCCCACAAAACAGCTGACATTTATATATGTTCATACGTTTTCTATCATGAATGGAATAGGTACTGGAAAACTGTTTTTGCTGCTATTATTTTTGGAAAATAATTAGCCAAATGTATACACACAAAAAATAATCAGCTTCCCATTTCTCATTTCACGGGGGGGAGAGACAAACCGGGTAGACACGACGGGGATACGGCTCGAGGACTTCGACCCGGCAGGGACGGGGCAACACAATGGGATTACACACCGGGGTAAAACAACGGGGTAACACAACGGGTAACCAAACAGGGGGTAACAACGAGAAAATAAGAAATGTCACGTTTATGATGGGTAAATAGGAAAAACTGTTTGTGTAACGCGTTGTTTTTTTTCCCGAATGCGTTGCAAGGGTTCCCGTTTCACTCTGCGGGTCTGGGGGTTGAGGGTGTGTTCGCTCGACGTTGCTTCCGCGTCCGCAACCGTTCGCAACCGTTCGTGTGAGGACCGTATGGCCGTGCCTATGGGAAGTTTTGCATAGGTGGTCCTTTTTGGAGGTTTCAGACGTCTGGTTGCTTCGTTTCGCGTGGCAGGCGTGGCACTTCGTGACATTCAGACGTGTTCTGGAACGTGTCGAAAGTCGTTTTGCGTGGCAGACGCAATACTTTTGTTACGTTTTGAGCAGATGTGTTGCAGTTTTCGTGGCAGGCGCAGCACTTTGGACGTGTGCATCGTTATTTTTCGTGGCAAGCGCAGCACTTTAGACGTGTCGTGTTGCGTGTTTTTTGTAAATCGCATTGGCAGGGCTGCGTCAAGTGGCGACAAGGTGCAAATTCCTCGGCAGGCGTGGCCTTTTGTGACATGTGCTGAAAATTGACGGAAGCCTCGCTCGAAACATCGATTTTGAGGTTGCAAATTTTCAGGTTCTAAGGAAAACTCGTAGGAAAACGTCGATTTTGAAGCTGCAAAGTGTCAAAATTGGAGGAAGTCTCGCACGAAATGCTCGTTTTGGTGCTCCCACGTGTCTCGGATCTCGAGTCTCTGGTTTTCCCGTGGCCTCGCCGTGTCTATGCGGGAAGCTGCAAAACCTGTCTTTTTGTTATGTTGCCAACTGTGAAAATCGCCGGAAGTCTTGCGCGAAATGCTGGTTTTGCTGCTTCCTACCTGTCTTGTCTCGAGTCTCTGGTGTTCCTGTGGCTTCGCTGTGTCTATGTAGGAAGCCGCAAAACCTCTACTTCTCGAAGGATTCCAAGCAGGTTGTCATGTCGTTTTGCGTGGCAGGCGTGCCACTTTGTGACATTCCAACCTGTTTGATAACGTGTGGGAAGTGTCAAAATTGGAGGAAGTCTAGCACGAAATGCTGGTTTTTCTGCATCCACGTGTCTTGTCTCGAGTCGCTGGTTTTCCTGTGGCGTCGCCGTGTCTATGGGGGAAGCTGGAAAACATCTCCTATTCGAATGTGTCCAAGCAGGTTGTCATGTCGTTTTGCGTGGCGCGTGGCACTTTGTGACATTCCAACCTGTTTGATAACGTGTGGAAAATATCAAACTTGGAGGAAGTCTCGCACGAAATGCTCGTTTTTTTTGCGCCCACGTGTCTCGTCTCGAGTCTCTGGTTTTCCTGTGGCGTCGCCGTGTCTATGGGGGAAGCTCCGCACTCCACACTTTACACTTTACACTCCACACTCCACAATTTACACTTTAGACTCCACACTCTACACTTTACACTCTTTACACTTTGCACTTTACACTCCTCACTCCTCACCTGAGACTTTACACTCCACACTCCACACT